AAAAGTATTTTATATGAATATTTCATATTTATATGAAGGTGATTTTTGAAATTCATATAAAATACTTGAATTTTTTTAATTCATATAAAATACTTTTTGAAACATTTAAACAGACCACGGCCTCCTTAAAGCATGGTAAAGTTGCCCATTAACATACTATATTTGTTTTTTTTACCAGCTGTAGTGGACAATAACAGAATTGCAAGATTATATATATATATACATATATATACATGTATACATATTCTGTGTTCCTCTATGTCTTTCTCAGATTTAAGGAATCAGCCATACAGACGGGCAGACACCGGTCGACGCAGCGCCAAGTGGAAACAAGGACAGCAGTTACAAGTGTCATCAGACATCTCTCTCTGAAAAGACCGGACGTAACAAGAAGAAAACCTCAAATATCACCTGATGTTTACAGTGACTAAAAATAACCACGTCACATGACAACATTTAAGCAAGTGAGCCAATCAGCTGAGCCGAGTGCTCATGCAACTAAATGACAGATAAAACACTTTATCATTCAAAGATATTCTTTTGAAAGGTGGGAATTTCAATTTAGTTTTAATTTTAATAAAAATATTGTAATGTTGAAATATAAATCATTCTGTGCATCAGCCCTTTAATTGCAGCCTGAAAATGAAGCAGCTTTGTAATATATTTAAATTATTTTTAATACATACATTTACTACGTATGAAAAGTGTTAGAATGATGGACAATGTCTCTGCTTTGGCATTTCAATAAATGAAGAATTTTACACTGCTGTTGGTCTTGTCCTTCTTGGAGATAGTGATCATTTTGACAGACATTGATTTAGTCAAAGTCTCAGTTTAATACTAGTTTTTACAAACCTTTCACTTGTGTCCTTGCCAATACCAAGTGCCGTCAACTACCAATGGGAATTGATACGAATTTAACATTTCCAATTCCATGTTTCAATACACTGGTGATGGACTGGAGGGCAGTGCTTCAGTATGTACTGTGGGAGGCACAACTGTGTGGTCTGTAATAAACAAAACAGGACAAATACAATGAAACTTTTGACATAGTAATTCAGTCAGGTGGACAGAAAGCAAGCAATGATCTACACTTATAATACATTTGAACTGAAAACAGTCTCCTACTTTCCAGTCAACAAACTGTGACTTAAACTGAGAAGCACTATCTCCATGTTTCAATAAACAAATGAACAAAATGTTGCTTTAAAAAGTGTCAATAAAACGTAACTCAGTGAGGTGTAACCTCCTCGTCTGTCCACTAGGAAGTCGGACTGAGAAGAGACACTGGTGTTTTGTTAAGCTTCTCTTACCTTGACAGAACTAATCTTACAGTAGGTCTGGCTCAGCTCTTCGTCCATGACGTTAGACACTGAACTGCAGCAGGAAAACACACACACCTGTCTGACTGGTGCACAGCTGGTTGGAGGGAAAGACCGTTACCTAGTTGACAAACATGAAGCATTGAGAATCAAAAACCAAATGTGAAGTGTGAATTTTGTGTGTTATTGTAGCGATGCTCACAAACGAGTCTGTGAACGAGTGTAGTGTATAGAAGAGGTCCACCTTTATTGTCACAAAATCACAACAGAACGTACAAAAGCAGCAACCTGTCCGGTTGGTTTGTATTTTTTTTCCTCACATGTAGCAGCAACTTTTCACTTCCATACACGAGGCTGCATGTTGTTTAGTTGGTCATTAAGTTACACTGACTCTGTGGTAGACGATCTCCTTCTTCGTCATGACAACAAACAACACCTACAGTAGCGCACACAGCAAGCATCACTCCTCGTCTGTCAGAATGACATGTTTTTTTCCTTCATGGTACACAGCCATTTTCAACAGAATACAAAATCTAGGTTACTGTACAATTCAGTTGGACTCTGTCTATCGTACTCACACGTATACACAGAATTATTGACGGTAAAATGAGACCCAGCGTGCAGACTTTGCAGGAATGTATACAGTATGCATGCCATTTGGATTTTTTTCTCCTCTTTCTAAAAAAAACAATTTCACATAAAACTGTATCTGTAATATAATATTTGTGTTTACTGTATATACATGATTTAACATCCACAATCACACATTCATCAAGGAACCATCACTATAGATTAGACTTTATAATCTGTGTTGTGTACGTACACTATTGGTTATATAGTAGAGGAAAACAGCGACAGAATGAGGCGTTTCATTAGTGAGGTTATGTGCTTTTTTTTCTCGTTTTCTCGTACATTTACAGTATTTAGACATAACATTTTTTAGTGCACACTGTGGGAGGACCTCCCGCTCTGCCTCCGCTGACCGCTCTCTACAGTAGAATGGTAATGATCAGCAGAAGAAAAGAATATCTTAAACACGGGGGAAAATCAACAATACTTTACAGAATAAAAGTGTTAGGTGCTAATGAGTCCTCTTCAAGTATAAAAATACAAAAAAAGCTTAATCTTATAAAACATAGATGACATTGTTTCTTCTTTTGTACATGTTAATAAAGCAATCTCTTCAAAATAAAACTACATGGTCATAGAATATACATAGAATATACTGTATCTGCCACACGGTTAAAGTTATACTTCCATTGCGCGCGTCTGTTCTTTGTGCTAGCATTTCAGGGTATTTGTAAGATTAATAAGACTTTATTCCATAAAATGTGTTTATAATATACTGAGGAACAGCCCTCGAAATGTGATTTCTCTCATTGGTAAAACACACGCAAACGAAGTTGGCTCGAGGTAACCGTGGACAAAGAATTTCTAATTTATCATTATGCTGTAGATTTGTTGTTGTTGTTGTTTTTTTTTTTAAAGTTCACCTACATAAAACTAATTTTCCATAATTCCAAAAAGTGGCACATTCAGGATTTAGGAGAGGGGGGCGAGAGGGCTTGTAAAACAAAGCAGTTTTAAGAAAAATAAAATAGCTGGAAAAATAACATTTTCTTCCAGTTTGTATTTCTTTTTCTGAACAATGTATGTACAAAACAGGCATGTTGAAGTGACCAAGAGGTGTTATGAAAAAGTATGCAGGAAGAATGCAGTTAAAATAACTCTGAAGACTCACAGCAGCAGCCATTCAAAAATTGGACTTTTGATAAAAAACCTGTCCTTAATATTTTATTCTACTAAATATTGAGTATTTCTGATCAGTGTCAAGGTTACTGATATTAATGATACTCAATGCAAAAATGTGAAAACTTTTTCACTACATTTTTTCTACAAGTTTTTTTTTTATATACCACGAGACAATGAGAGTTTTCCTTTTATAGACATAACTGACCTGAATCTGTTCTACTCTGAGTTGACCCTGACCTTCCCCATAAAAGTCACTTCTTTTTTATTTAACTACAGACTCCAGATTTTAAGTTGCTGTACTTCTAGCTAGTGGCTTGAAGAACTTGCGGAAGAAATGAAAAATAAATCACTGTGGTCTACTTCTGATTATTTTAGTTACAGGTTCATTTGAAACTAGACTCTAGCTCTCTCTACATTTGAGTCATCCCAAAGTTCCAGTTGCTATGCAATTTTTTGATTTCACTTAACACACCCAATTTTTTTTCAAATCCTACTCTAAATGGGTAGAGAGGGATACAGTAATAGATGTTTTGACAGCATTGAAATGTTTCTCCAAAAATGGGACCTAAAGGAAAACATGTGGTCCACACCAAGTAAAATACCACCCCGTGGGCTCCACATAGACGTGATGACCAGCTTGATGTGTTAGCTGTGGTGGTTGATGGAAGTGCATAATGTAGGGAGAGAAAAACGCAGCTAGAAAAGACGACTACACTCACCTCTACTTGGATAATATTCATTTCTATTTAAACTAAATGTCTTTGCGTTGTGACTTTACAGTAAAGACTGACAGTGATCTCACGCCTTCAAGGTCTGAACTAGAAGTCCAAATGTTCCCAGAACACACTCCTCACGTAATTAGTCCAGCTGAGACCTGAGAGGCAGACAGAGGATGAAGGAAGCTAAGCAGCAGCAGCAGCAGCAGAATACAGAGGAGAGAGAAGAAGGCTGGCACAAAGAGTGATGTGACAAGCTGCAAAATGGGAAAAAAGCATAACAAGCAGAATTTCTGTGGCGGGAGAGACAGCACTCCATGACAAATGCTCAGCACTGCCCATAAAAGGGGGGGAAATAATGGTTTAAAAGCGCATAAAAAAACAAAGGCCAGACGAATTCATTGTACCAAGAAGCGATGAGAGGGAAGGAAAAAGAAAAACAAGACAAAAATCAAAATTTATATCCATAAAAATGTAATTTTTACTTCATGTTAAACCTCAAGGCAGTGTTTGTGTTTTCGCTGATTATCCACCAGAGAGGGGGACATTTCTGCTGCATCTTTAAGGAGTAGAGAGAGGGGGGAGAAAAGAAAGAGGAGGGAGGATGGAGAATGTGAGGCTGAGCTGGAAACAGGCAGAAATGATGCTGTGATCTCAGAGCTGCTCAAAATGTTCCAGCTACCACAGAGAAAACCTCTCCTTATTCAGCTGCTCTTCCACTCTGTGTGACACAAGAGGGGAGCATGAAGGGATGTGGGGGAGAAGGAAGAAGAGGGATGAAGATGAGGATACAGAAGGAGAAATGTAAGGAGGAGAGGAAAGGAGGGAAAACAAACGAGAAGGATTAGAGGGGAGGATAGGAAATAAAGTATATTGTGGTAAATCAGGTGAAAAGACAGTGTGTGTCCTAGGTCAGAGTTGGCGTTACACTGTGCTGACAGTAACAGGCTGTGTCCTAATCTGTTGAGTTTCACACAACTCAGCCTAATTCAAACGTATCATGTTGCTACCTTAGTACTTTGGATGGTTCCTGCGACTTATATATTTTAAAAATACACTCCAAATCATTAATGGCCACAAGAGGGCACTGTCCACACTTGATAACAAACGCTGCTACTGTGTCACAGAAAAATGACAGGACTAAATCGTAAAGACTTTCTTAAAGGTCATCTAAAAATGCCACAAAAAAAAAGCCACAGTGAAAAATTTAAACGGCAGATTATAAATTATGCAGCTGAAAACAGAAAGGAACTGATGCTGAGTCTGATGACAGACCAGAAGAGGAGATGACACGCCATCTTCCTCTGGAGTTGGAGGAATTGTTTAGAATGAAAGGATTCAGTGACGTGACGTGCAGTAAGATCAGGAACTCGTGACTCTACTGTAATATATTCAGCGGTAAATGTATGAAAACGAATGATCTTTCCAGATTAAGTGATTATTGTTGGTTTCTTAAAAATAAATAGAACTTGTAGAAATCTGTAATATCAGAGAGTAAGCTTTTGTTTTCCTACTGTGTTTTTGAGTTACAGATGAAAAAGTGTTTTGTTTGTTTACGCAGCATCTTCAGTCACATTAACACTGTGAGTCCAGGCCTGAAAACAGAAGCCAGACAGAAGTGTCAGCCCATTTGCCAGCGGGTTACTAACACGATGAATTATTGAATAGGCAAAAAGAAAAAGGGAAAAGAAAAAAAACCTGTAAATTGAGGAGCCAAAAAGACGATGTGAGGCGTCAGCTCCTGCATACTGATCACATGATGTCTCCTTGAGGAGACCAAGACATTAAATGTTGTGACGGATGAGAGAGACAGCTGTCAAGGACACTGTCCTCTCTGGTACCACAGCCTAAATGCTGTCATGTTGGGTCACAATGGTGGGCTGTTGATGCATCACCTTACTGAGGAAGAGTAAAGGTTTTTGATCAGTTTGATCAGTGCGTATGAGCTGGACCCGTTTTCTGTGCTAATTAATCAACTAAAAGTCATGTGATGACTGATCAACTATTGTACATTGTGGAGTTTTTGCTTTTAAATTCAAACCCTAAAGTTTAATAACCACCTACAGTAATAACCTCAGTTGTCTGCACTTCCTTCAGTGGTAGTTCCATGGACACTAACTACTGACCTGGGAGTTTATTCCACTATACTTAGGGCAGTGGGTAAAAAATAAACACCTGTTAAATGATTCTTCATGAAAAGTTTAAATCAGCTAATGGATTTCTACCAACAACCGTGTATGGTATTTACAGAGTGGTCCAAAGAGAGTCGAGACAGAGGACAGTAGGAGGGCTAACCAGAATTAGATGATGAAATATAGAAAATATATTCTCTCATCTGATGAGTCTGAGATTTCTGCTCCAAGTAGTAGATGGTGGAGAAAGAATTTGGTAAAAACAATGTGAACAACATAAAGAATAATCATAGATGACGGGGATGAAGTAACGTCACTGCAGATAAAACTCTGCAGTTTCAGGGGGAAAGTGGCCAGGAAGTGAAGCTTTACACAGTATGACTTGGGTTTGTTTTCTCTCTGCTTTTAGAAACCTCTATTTTTTGTGCAATTAAAAACACGTTGCTTCTTCCAGTGACCTTGCTTCCACACTTGTCTTGTCATTTTGCAAAATGACGAAATGCTATTTGGCATTAAGAGGCCATCACATGTGGCTGCACTTACTGCATGGATGTGCCTTTTAGCTGGAGTTTGGAGGTTTGTTTACTGTATTTTTCGGTAACCTTGGGGTTTAAAGGACAGGTTTACGCTAGAAGAGAGCAGTTTGTGTCTGTTACTGGAAGAGTAGAGTAAAAAGGAATGAAAAAAAGATTTTATGACAAAGAAAGAAAATCACTGAGTCACCACTTAGATTGGAGGTAAAATTATTCTGAGGCATTTTCTTTTAAGGTAATGTTAAGTCTTGATGATCATGTGAGATGATGTGACAGATATCAAGCACCAAAAACCTTCTTTACCCAAAACAAAGACACATGAACATAATCAGAGCAACAAAGAAACTCCTCAGCCAACACTCCCATGTCAAAAGACACGTCAACAACCAGAGAAAATGAAAGGTTTTCTGCACAGTTTCCTCTCCTGGGTTCAGTGTTTAATCTCATATTTTCTGACATACAGTTTTTTCTCATAACGCCCAAAGTCACAGGGGGAAGAAACTCCTTCTGAAGTGACAGCAGAAAGATGAGAGAAGAAGACAGGAGAGGAGAGGCAGGCGGAGCGTCAGGGGGTGGGAGTTTGGGTATTTTTTTTTTTAGAAGTGGAATACCTGCTGCTGGCCCTGCACTTTGGGGAAATCTTCCTTCTGTTTGCGGCCTTTGGGTCTTTCCAGGCTGCTCTGCTGCAGGTGTTTGAGTCTGGCTGCCACTGTTGGACCTTTGGTTGGTCCTGGAGAGTTGCTGCTGTTCTGTAAGAACCAGGAGGAGACAGATGGTTCACGTCAGTCATTTTGGTACACATCGGTTCTTTCTTGGCTACGGCATTCACAGAACATTCTCTCACAAATGTTTGACTTTGACTCTCGACACAGATGAGGATAAAACATTTCCTGTGTAGGTTTGGTTTTGTCCAATCAGCATCCACTCACCATGAAAGATTTTCTCTTTTTGTCTTAATAAATATTTACTAGAAAAGCTAAGATTTACTAAAGTTTGTCATTTTCTTTTCTCTCTGTAGGCGTTCTGAGGGCACTGAAAGCTGTGATCATCTTCTGGTAAATATAAATTCACATCAGGTCCCTGTGTTTTTTGTACTGTAGTCTGGAAACTTTGTCTCTTTGGTATAATCTGTGACTGTAATTAAATATGGCCAAATGTCTGTACTTCCTCCCACTACACAATTATCAAATCAAACTATCTCACTGTTTATTTTTCCCCACAAAGGAATATTTAAATATTCAAAACATAACAATAGCATTGCTGTTATTTGTCTGCATCGGACACAAAATAACAATATGCATCATATTTTTATTTTGTGTTGATTCAGCAAAACAAGTCATACGGAAAGACTTGAACACATTTGGTTATACTGTGTCAGAGAACTACTTTTACCAAATTTCAAGTTCCATTTTGGGTTGTTTCTGTTTTATCTGGATTTCTTTTTTAAGTCTAATTGAACTGTAAAACTAAAAAACACATTTAAAGCCTCATCACATAGATGTTCAGTCCAGGTGTGACCTACAAATGGGCTGGATCAGGGTCAGGAGCCACGTCTTTATCAACTTGTCAAGTTTATAAATTTGAGTTTAAAAATGTATGGAAATTACAAATACCCTAAACTGTGAGTTTTAATGACAGTTATTAAAAATAATTAGTGTTGTCTGGCTAACAATTTTGAAAGTGCTAATTACATTCAGTGAATGGACTTTAAAACAGATTTAAGATGTCTGCTGTAATCAAACATCAGCGCTGGTGTCTCCACGTCTCCTTTCTTCCTTCCGTCTCATTATGTTTATTCTGACAACCACCTGTTCAATGCTGCTGTTTGACAACTACGACAAAGACGCATCCTTCTTTTTAGCACGTATCAAAGGCAAAGACACAGCTGTCACTCACAGACTATGAACCCACTGCACCTCACAGCGAGACATCGGCTACAACTGAAAACAGCAACAGACATGGTTTGAATCTCAGGAGGTTAAAGAAAGGACGAACGGAGGAGGAACACCTTAAACACAGATCGTGCTGCAAACACTTAGAGAAACATCAGAGAAGTGAAGGTCGGCAGTAGAAAGTGAGGAGCTCTGAAAAATGTGAGAAAGAGAAGTTGAGCAGCTAAAGAATTTTGGGCATTTCTTAGAGAGAAAAACCCCAAATAAATATTGAATGTAATTGTTATCTACTTTTTTCAAACAGACCTACATTTCAAAGCATCCAGACCTTTGTTAGACTTCGAATCTAAAACATCGAGCTTTGTGACTTCTGTAATCAAATATTTAGCCAGTAATGGCTGTAAAAACACTGTTTTCATTCTGCTGTTATGTGACCACCAAGAACTGTATTTTATTTCAGGCCACTGAAATATTTCTGTAACTCTCCTCCACTACACCTGGTATTAGGTCCTGTTATTCCCAGATAATGAAAACTAACTTGTGGTGTCACCCCGTCCTGCTGATTGTGGCCGAGCAGCCACAGCAGGGAGGGGAAGTGAAAATAACTGAAGATGAGACTTCAAGCATGGGTGAGTCATTATTCAACATCACAACCGTCAGGAACCACACAAATCCATGGGTGTAAGAGAACTGTACGACCTCCGAATACATACAAACACACTGGGTTTTTTAATTGATTTGTAAAGAATCTGTAAAGTAAACAATAAAAGGACAGAGTCAAGTGTTTGAGTTGAAGTGAAGGAACAGTCCAGAAGAGCGACAGATGGCTGTGAGAAGATCAAATGTTACCTTTCTGACCAGGGTTCTGGAGGTGCAGTGATGGATGGGTGGAGCCTTTGGCAGGATTCTGTATGCTTTACTACAACCTTTTACTGTTGTTCTCTGAAATATCTTTGGTTTGTGGTTGTTGGTCGAGAGATTGGAGCACATACATGTTATTGCAAAAAAAAAATAAAAACCTTGTTTTTTTTTTTTACACATCTGTGTAACTGACAAATGCGTGTCATCCAATCAGTCTCACCTCCAGCTCGGCGATAATCTTCTCCTCGTCATCCTCATCCTGAATCGCAGTCGCTGCGATCACAGGAGGTGTTGATGCTGGACGAGGGGCGTCAGACGGCATGCGCCTCAGCTTCACAAGTGTCTTGGGAATATCACCCTCATCCTCCACCTCCACACACCAAACAGAGAGAGACAAATCACTATGGTTTTCAGAGTCCCAGTTTGAAAGACACAGAAAAGAACATCTGAATTTTCCTGAACATGAATTCCTCTGACAGCAGGTTGAGTTGGTGAAATATACCATGAGGATCTCTGGTGACAAATAAGCAGTTCAACCTCTGCACACAATAATGGCCCATTCACACAAAGCTAAAACTGGTTGACTGGTTGAAAAAAAGCTGAAAGCCAAATTAAGTTCAGTCCAAAGATAAGAAAAAGCATCAAGTCACACAAAACACACAAAAAATAACTAAAATTGTAACTGTATTATTGTATATTATGAGTGATCAAAAAAAATCTAATCTAATTTAAATTAATCTAATATCTCAAAAATAAGACTAAGAAGGGCAAAGAAGGGCGTGCGTAACTAAAAAAGCTACATGTGCTTTTAATAGGAAATAATAAAAAAGTAGATATGGCTAACAGCTAGCTTCAAAATGTTAGCTAAAATATAGTGAGAAAAACAGAAATGCAGGCAAAAGGAATATTTACCAAATTTTCAAAATACAGGAGTTAGCCAGGGAAGATGAGAAAACCAGAAAACGGGGAATGGACTAAAATCTAAAAGTTAGGATAGCAAAATGTCTGGCTTATATTATAAAAGAATGTATTTGTAAACATTACTAATGAATATTAAAACTAGCTTGATATTTAACATAAGAAGCTAATTGAAATACATTTCTACAGTACTTAAAACTGGGAGAGAACGTGAAGTTTTTTTAGTAGCATAAGGGATTTTACAGATGGTCGTCTGTCTGTAGGGTGACTTTAAGACGTACTAAAGTTCGGAGACAGATGAGACCACACAGTGTCATTAAAATGTGAATAACACACAGTCAGGAGCTTTTTATTAGAGACCAATATGTTAGTGAGTGAATCACTGCCTGACTTTCCTACAGTTTGTGCAGGAGGAGACAGATCTCCAGCTTCAGCAGGTGGACGTCTATTACTCCACTGCAAAAACAACCAAGACCAAGCCATTTATTTATGGACAAAACTGAGAGAAAAAAATGACTCAAAAGCTACTCTAGCTCTGTGTGAGTTTACTCCAGTTCACGGCACAACTGCCCCACTTGATGCAAGAAAAGCCACAGAGAGTAAAAAAAAAGAGCCAGTAAGTGTGGTCCACATCTTTTACACCAAATGTAGACCAGTCAAGTATGAATGCAACAGCATAGAATTACTTTTGGATTCTTTGTGGTGACTACAACTTCTCCAGTGCGGTTGGTGGTGATGCCGTGGGCCGACGGGAAGCTTCGTCGTGGTGGAGGCGGTGGTGGAGACTTGGAGGGTTTCTCTGTGCGGTACCGAGCAGGGCTGAGGTCCACTTTGAACAGAACACAATATTTTTGAAGTTAAAACATCCCATGTTCACATCTACTAAATAATTAACTCAAACTTTCCATGTCAATTCAAGCACTTTCAAAACAAATCATTTTAACAACTTAGCCAAAGACTAATGTAACTGTTATTTTGGCATGGACTTTTATCTATTGGTATTAGTCAAATTGTAGCAATTTTTGATAAAATATTAGCAATAATAAAAATAAAATAATAGCAATATTTTATTTTTCAATCATTCTCCATACGCTTGAAATCACAAAACATTTGGCAAAAACATTTATTACGATCTACCTTCAACAGATTACAGCTACCATTTAGTATTTTGCTAACTTTTGACAGCTCATTTTGGACGATGAAATTTCAACACCTTCAAAAACCTGACTTAGCATTGTATGAAAGACAAACGGCTGGAGTGACTCACCAGACCCCCGATGTGAACCAGCCCCCTCCATACTATTGAGCTTCTGTGCAGCCAGCTGAACTTTACTAGGCTGCTGCTCCCCGCTGGGTGTGGGTGTTGTTGTGGTGGTGGTGGTGGTGGTGGTGGTGGTGGTGGTGGTGGGGGGGGTGGGGGTTGTTGTTGTTCCAGTGGTGCTGGCTGCAGTAGAGGTCGCTGCGGTGGAGGATATTGGGATAGTGATCTGAGGCTTAGGCGGCACCACGGGCTTGCTGATGTGCTTGGCAGCGAAGTCCAGGTCGGGGATGGCCTTCATGAGCTCAGCCTGGGTCTCTTCCAACAGACGATTGATGTCCTGGGCGCTGAACTGGGTCAGACTGGCACGCTTCTCCTCCCAGTCCCGCTCTGCTGCCTGATATCACACACACACAAATGATGGACATGCCACCTCCTCACAAGTACACACACAAGAACTGATTGTATCATCTGGTATCACACAGACAACTGCAGACAAATTATAAACTGACGGTGTTGTGTGCAGTATAACCACCTCCAGGTGTAATTTCTTATGTAAATGAGTGACTGCCATCTGGCTAGTACAGTAGCAGCCTGCCTACAGTGTTGAATGATGTTCATATATCATTAGTTTACAGCAGAGCCTATAATGAAGCACTGATTATTACCAGTCTGACTTCGGCCGACACAGACTTATCAGCAGGGCGTCGGCTTGGCAGCTCATCCAGGACTCGATTTCTGAAGGACAGTGACGTCTGCGTGTCCTGTTCTGGGGCTGATGTTTCAGTCTCGCCTGAGGACACAGGCATCCAGTTGGCCAGACCGGTGCTGGTGCTGAGGTCTGTGAGGCTAAGAGGAGGGCTGTTTAGGATGTCCATGTCCGAGCCGCGACTCCCCTCCTCGGTTCTCTTCTGTGATTGGTTGGAGAGGTCGTCATGGCCCTTCCACACTCCCTGTGTGACTTGTCTGTACATACAAGAGGGAAAGGGAACACTACAATACACACAGGACAGCATCAAGGGACTACCAGTGTCAGGAAAAGACACAGTGCATGAGAAAGTATTTTATAATTAATAAACCTAAAAAAATAAACCAGCAGTACCTGATACTTAAGTTAACTTTTGTTAACAGCTTGAGCCAAAGAAGAAAATGAAAATGGTATCGGATAACAAAAACAGTTAACCTTAAGAAATCAACACTGGTCAAAGACAAATGAAAATTGGTATATGAAAAATAGTGTTTAGAAGACAATGACTTTGTGTAGATACTGTGAAGCTACAGTCTGAATGTTGTTGTAGTGGAAAATGAAACTCTGTTCTAACATGTGCAGCCAAAAGTTACAGACTCTGAACTCTCATTGTCTCCCCGCGTCCTCTTTAACACCCTGCTCTGATGAAATGATCCTCTCCTTGGGAAGCTGCTCTGATGAACTCATTCAGACCACGGCCTCTGACTATTATTAGCAGCATCGGCAATAAGCAGTAAAAGTGCCGCAGCAGTCTGCCCTGGGCAAACTCCCTCTGATGGATCTCTCGCCGCTTCGACTGTAACTTCTCCTCCAGGACTGACAGGTAATTATTCAGCCGACCACGTTATGCTCATTTTTCATCAGTCAAATAAAACATGATGAATGGATCCGTGCAGACGGGCCGCGTTTGGCTTTAAATCTCTTTAATGTTAATGCAGGAATTTTATCCCAGAAAACTCCCTGCAGCATCAGTTTGGAAGTAATAAGAGGATTCGGATAGAGTTGAGAAAACTTTTCACACAGGCATGGTCGAGATGAAAGAAAAGGGTTTTTTTTTTTCATTTCGATTCTACAACAGAGAACTCCTGAGGGATGAACCTCAGATGGGAAATGTGTGATGACAAGAGGAAAAACCCTAAAAAGTCATTGAAGGTGACAGCTGATGTTCAGAACAGTTTAAATGATGCAGACAGGCTCTGATTAGGTCTGAAGGGAGAAAAAGAATACACTGTTTCATTTGATCTATTTCAGCTGGCCTGGTGGGAATGTGTGGTAATAGAGTTTATATCATTGATTTGAATCAATAATTTAACAAAGTATCTAACTCAAAATAAGACTTGGAGGAAACAGTTAATTTGGAACAAACTGTAGGAAACCTGTGATAATCTGTGGTGTTTGATATTAACACTAACACCTCCAAATAAAAGGAAATTCTTTGAAAATTGAAAACCTGAAAATCTGCTGGAGACTAAAGAAATTAAAAATCTTCAAATAAAAATCTTTGTTTTTGTAAAAAAGAAAATCCCAGTTGACAATTATTACAATTAGTCACGAGTTAAAAGAGGAAGGTCAGATGTAAGCCAAGGTTCTAATTTCATCAGCTCAAAAATATTTACAGAATAATGATTATCATTTATTTCTAGCTTCAGATAAACTTTTAGCTTTTAGCTTAATATTTATAAAGAAAATAGCCAAAATAAAATCTAATTATTATTATTAGTATTACTGAAAACAAAAAATAGTCATTTCAAAAATTCCCAAAAACAAAATTCACAGAATGTCAGTGAAGGTAAAGTAATACCAACATTTAACCAGAGCCTTGTCCTAAAAGAGAGACAAAGTTACTTCAACAACTCATTCCTGGTCTGTTCTGCAGCTGGCTACATCCATCTCTTATATACAGCCTACTGTATGTTTTGTGTCTAACCAACTGTGAGCTGCTTCATGTGTGGTTACCTGCGCAGTGTGCTCAGTGCATCGGTCATAGAGTTGCAGCGCTTGAGCAGGGCATCCAGACGGTGAGGCTCTTCTTTCAGGAACTTCACAGCCTCCACCTCCACCCTCAGCACCACCCGCATCTTGCTCTGCAGGCTGGGAAACTGATCTGCGGGACCATGGAGTATTTTGTAGATGTTTGGGGGGAAAATGAAGTGTGAAGTGAGGAGACTGCAGCCATTTTACTTATGGTTATTGTTTGTGTTTACACCATTAAACTGAATGTACATGACACATGTCACACTTACGCTCTGCATTGATTAAATCATATTGACAAATAAACTATTACCAGAAATACTAATGAGTGTTTCCGGGAACTATATGAAGAACCATAAAGACTCAGCATTTCTATCTCCATCACCACAGATGTACAGCAGGTCATTAAGGCAGCAGACTCACTCTTCAGCTCTGTCAGCGTCTCTCCCAGCATCCTCAGTTCTTTGCTCTTCTGCTCCACGTCCTGCTCTGTCACCAGCCCGTGGTTGACGGATGAATTCCTCTGCAGCTCCTCCACTGATTTCTCAAGATCGCTGGAAAAGTTTGGGTTTCAGATTCACTATCAGGCTTTTGTGCAGATTATATAAGATCTGACCTTTGAGCTTTGAGTGTAAATGTTAAACAGTACTGAGGTTTGGTACCCAGCCCTCACTGTGTGTGAGGTCCTGCCGTGTTTCACTGCACCTCAGGTTCTAACAAGATTAATTACTGTCTAATTACTGGGCTGGTTGTAAAAAAGTAATCAATGGTTCTCTGGACTCACTGCAACTGCTGGATAAGCAGCTCCTCCTGGTTCAAATACTTGAGTCTCTCCTCCTCCACCAGGAGGCGCTGTCTCTGCAGAGGGTCTTCCTGGGTGCGTGTGGCATCCAGCATCATGAGGCTCAGCTCTGATTCTGTCTGCTTCAGCAGGGACAGGACCACGTCCTGGTTCTCCAACTAGGACAAAGGGTCAGGGGACAATTAAAGCCACTGAATGAAAAAAGAAAATCTATGCTTGGTTTTTATATATAGTTGACCATTTTATATTTAAGTTATATTGATATCCTTAATTTACATGAAAAGTCTCCATTATTTATAGAATGCTGCACAGAAACAGATTATTACATCAATGTTTACAAAGCTTTTCTGTTTGTTCATATTAACTCGTTTAACACAGTGAACAAAGACAGAGATACTAAAGTGTTATTATTTTAAAGAGTGCCTGACTTTAAACTCTGGAATAAAACAAACCTTTTGTTTTAAACAAACTCAAGTAGAAAAATATGTGAAGATAGAAACAACAGAAGGAATTCTCCAACGGCAACATTATTTAAACGTGTTTAAACCTAAATGAGAAATATCTTTTTTAATGTCATAATTGTTTTTAATTTGACTAAGAACATTCTCATCTAACCTTTTCACCTTTGTATTGTGACCGACTAAAGACGTATTGTATTATTATTTACCTATTTTAATTACATTTTTGTTTTTACTCTGTGACTTGCAATTATTTCAAAATTGACCTTCCAGTGACCTTGAGTGTGGCTGCAGGTGTTTAACACATAAAGTCTATTGCCACTAATAAAGTAAAAATAAACACACCTGTATGTTGCGCAGTTGCGACAGCTGTTTGCGCAGCGCGACAGTGTTCTGCTGCAGGCCCTGCAGATGGAGCTGCATCTGGAGACGCGACACAGTCACAGGCTGGTTGGCCCCCGAGGAAGGAGGGGGCATTAGGGCCAAAGGAGCAGACGGTGTCAAAGCTGCACATGTAAATGTTGATTAATTGCAATGAACTTGTCCTTGTTTTTTATTTGTTTGTTTGATTCTTTTGGTCAGTAAAGGGACAAGGTTATAGAAGTTTTCCCAAAGAAATCCCTTAATTCAACAAATAAATGTCAATTTGGTAATTTGTTGTCAGATCCAGATGAGGACAAGTTCTATCTGAGCTGCAGGTAAAGGACGATTGACAATTAGAATCTTTTCTACATACAATAATAAACACTATGAAAAGTCGACACAAACAAAGATGATTCTTAGGGAAGGAAACACATTTCCATCAAATCCAAATATCCCACAGTTACTACAGAACTGCTTCCTCTAAGCAGCCAAACATGAATCATCTTGTGAAATGGAAATAAGCGGTTGCTCTGACAGCAGTTAGGAAGTAGACACACACACACAGCTCATGCCAAACAACACAGAGCAACAGAAGACAATCAATAAAAGTGAGAACTTTGGAAGAGTTGCATTCAAAATTTGGTCAAATGATAAATACTTTGGATGGTAAATAGGGCTGTAACTAATGGAATTATAAATATGGAAAATTATGTAAACTTACAACCAAATCATGCCAAATTTGTACATTTTCTCACAGTTATTTAAGTCATTCCTGAGCATCTTAACAGAGGTTTATAGAACATCAAACTTCAGTAAATTGAATTACAATTTAACCAGATAATCTTCTCAAATTAATAAGCATGTTAATTTCGAGAGCCTTAATTGAAAAGTTACACCCTACCCCCAGCCCACCTCAGTCCTTCTGTACCAGAGTACTTTGTGTTCACCTCTTATAAATCACATGTTTCCTGTGTGGTGGACTCCTGCTTCACCTCTCAATGATTAACTGTGGCCACAAATGGGCCATTGAAAAGCTGCTGGATACGGAGTGTAGAGTATGATATATTATATATGCTTATTACAAATTACGTTGAAAAAAGAAAACATAATTTATGGCTGGGGAGCCATAGTTTCACCCTTTAATTAACTTCCCACTGACTACAGTGTGCAGCAAAGGTAAAGAGCTCTGAAGAGTTTTCTAGAACCATTTATGGTTAGACTATCTGACACAGATTCAAAAGTTATCCAAGGACAAAAGCTCAATTACATTTTAGGAAATAATTCACTCTTCTGATGAACTTTTCTCCCTTCAAAATTAAATAACGGACTAAGAGCTTATCTACAATTTGATTCTACACAATTTGATTCTACAATCAGATAAAAAGAATATTTATTAATGAGTTTCTTTTATCTGTTTTCAGTGTGAAGCAAATTCTTATCAACTCATCAAGAAAAGATACTTTTTTTCCTTGTAATGTGTAATTGTTCGGCCCACTTTTTAGTCAGCATTTATGAAAACGGGTATTAAAAAGGGCCTTAATGTGTCTCATACTGTATAAGTAGAATGGTCAGTCAGAGAATTTGTTACTGTCAAGGGTTTCAATGCAACTCGAGTTAACAACAACAACAACTTAGTTGGTGTCATTTCACCAGCTAAGAGGAAGATAAATCAAGACAGAACAAATGTGTGTGCACACCAGGAAAGTGAGACCTGAGAAATATTTAACTCATACCCAGCGAGGCTACTATACTCTCAGGTGGTAGACCTAGACTGAGTAGATCTGAAAGATGCCATTCACCATTGACAGCTACTGCTTACAATCACCCCCTCATGTTGACAAGATCCATTTGACTTGATGCATTCCCTTTTCAATATTTCTGCTCCACTCTTGGGGGGCTCACACTACACTTTGATAAATCGTGATTTAACTTATGGATTGAAACTGTGTTTTTAGCACCTCCTGCAGGGATAATACAAGGGCTACAACCCAAAAACACGATCTGCCATACTCTGATTACAGAGATAAATGACCACAATACAGCAGCTAAACATCAGTTTCAAAAATGCTAAATATTAGCCAGAAATGTTAGCTTAGGAAAAGGAAAATGTTAGCCCCAAGGAAGAAAACTCAGGGTTGTTTCAAAAATATAGCACTACGCTCATTTTATACTCTGGTGCACACACACACATTCACAGACTTGGGGTTAATGGGAAAATACACTCTAGGAATAGCTACAGTACAAGTACCTTTCTTTTTTTTAGTTCGTCCAGCTAAAATAAAATAAAAAATAAAAAAGCGTGAGCTCTGGTTACACAGCAGCAGAAACCAAAGCAGCAGGAGCAGAAAGAGCAACACACACAGAGTGAACTCAAAAATCAACCAAATCAGGCAGAGTCATCATGTACAGTACAAGGCATTTTTCAAAATTACACATTACAGCGAAGAGGTGATCTGAAATTAAAACAGGCAGCAGCAGCAGCAGAGAACAGTGAGAGCGATTTGATGTTTCACTTGCAGAAGTGAACACTTACTGTCAGTTCCTGAGCAGTCGCTGGCTGATTCAATCTTCTCCCTGGAAGAGGCAAGTGTCAGAGTACTTAGAGCCAGAACACACTCTCTACTGATCTGCTGGAGAGCTCTTAGTATTTAATGAAGAATGGTGCAAATCCATGCACCCATATATGCACACTGCTCTGTGTTTTTGAACACAGAAATACATGTGCATGTTTTCAGACATGAGTCATCTATGGTTTCTACCACACTGTGGCTTCTTTGTTCATTTTTAGGCACATTTGATATAACCGCTGGTACAAAGGTAAAGGTCGACCTTATTGGATCAGTTGCTTTTCTTTTCTTTATAAATCCTAGGATATTTGAAACTCTAACATTTCACTTTTTGTGAAAAACGTTTTTCAAGTTTTGAGGAAATAACTATGACATGGATATCAGAGTGTTGGTCTTACGGGCTGTCTGCTTCAGGTGCTCGGCTCAGGACTCTTTGCAGCAGTCCAGTCAGGCTGGCTATCTGCTTCTCCATGGCCTCCATACGCTCCCTTAAAAGGATAGAGGAGTAGGTGGATGGATACAAGAGTGGATAAATGGATGGGTGAATTAATGTGCAGATAGAATTAGATGAAGCGATAACACAGATAAGAACAATTGATTTACTCTATTGATCCTTAAAGGGGAAACTGTCATGTTACATCAGACTGATGATGAATACCAAAGCCTACACAATAGCATTTGTGCAGAGACATGTTGGAAACATAGACCATGAATAGGAAACTAACATTGTCATTATGGTAACATGGCAGAGACAAATTGAAATGGAAGGTAGGCTGTCTGGAGATGTACATCAGTTTGTGGTTTGTTTTTTGCTATATTTAATTTGCTAAATAAAAAAATGTTGAGACACACTTCAGACACTACACTGAGAAATAACAGGAATAACCTTGTAATATTAATGGGGAAAAGGTTAAGGTTATCTTAGGTCAGTGGGACATCTTATGTCTTATGTCTAAAAGTGTATGGTTTAAAAAATAAAAAGATACCGACTGTGACCAGAGACCATAACCCTCACTGAAATGTCAGACTTTGTTCTTACCTGGTCTCTGTCTCGTTCCCCAGCAGAGGTGATCCAAAACCTCCAACACTGCCTCCTTCTCCTCCAGGACCAGCCATCAGACAGAGCTGCTCTGAGGTGAGACCCAGCCCTTGTCCAGCACCACGAGCTTTAGGACTGTCCCCAAACACAGAGGAGGTCAGAGAGTCCCTCCTTAGACTCTGGCGGCCTGGAGAACCACGTCCAGGTAAGGTGCCTGCATATGAATCCCTCATGTCAGGAATCTTCTGAGGGGAGGAAGGTGGAGGCACCCGGAGCCCCATGGCCAACATGGAGGCAGCATAGGCGTCATTGTAGAGGGGTCCTCCAGGCCTGTAGAGGGCACCACTTTCCATCAGCTCCCCTTGTAAAGCGGCTGCTGAATAGGAAGTGAGTGTTCTCACTGATCCAGGTCCTGGAACGCCTCCTCCTCCTCCTCCTCCTCCACGGCGGTATAAGGAGCCATATGGGTCAGCTCTGGCCGGCAAAGGGGAGTGAGGACCTGCTGCAAGACTCAATCGACTTGTTTCTGGTCCCAGAGAGTAAGGGTCTGCATAAATCCCTCCGCCGCCACGGTCATCTCCTCTCAGCAGCACCATGCTCCTGGAACCCCCCACTTCATCATCGGGCTTCACATCCCTGCGCTCCAGGATGGCACTGGAGGAGGTGCAGAAGGGCGTGTGGTGGGGCTGGTGGAGCTGTGGCTGCTGGTGGGGAGAAGAGTGATGAGCCTGGGAATGCGGGTGGGGAAGGGAGTGAGTGTTGTGTGGTGGCCCGGCATACGAAGAAGGCCTGCCACTGCTGTAGAGGAGGCGGGCACGGGAAGGAGAGCCTTGAGGAGGTGAAGCCGAGGAGGACGAGTGCTGGGAAGACATGTGGGGGTTACTGAGGCGGCGGTTGGGTGGAGAGTCCTGGGGTGCATACACCATCTCTCTCTGTGTGTAGAAGAACATTAATGTACACAAGGGATGTAGGCGGGTAAGTCAAAAATAGATGTTGAGAATATATGTTTTGGCATAATTCGACTGATTTCAAAACTAAAACAGCCTTAACAGCTCTGACAAGGTGTTTTATTATTATTATTAGGTTGTTTGAATCACATTGAATCCTGGAATAATTATGAAAGATTTGGAACATGTTTTGATGCAACTCCAAGTGATTTGTTTTGTTATATTCCATAGTCTGGAATGGTTCAACTAAAGACTTTATTTTAAGGTTAAGAGATTGTTTTGGCCTATAATCTAGGCAGATTAACAGTTGACAGGTTTCAATGTCCATACTGTGTATAAAGAGGCATCAACCAAAGTGACAAATAAACAGAACAAGCTGAAGAATGTTCTAATGTGGTCATAGTTTTTCCTCACTCCCATTTGTTGTTCAATCTGACAGTGAAAGCACACTCCCCTGACATAGCTGCATCTCTGCCTCACCAAGGTGAGACTAAGTAAGTGTCATACATTACTCTTGAGTCCTGCTGTTAAGTGGAATTAAAATTGCAGCTCCACGTTGAGATGCCACAGTAATTCACAGATACTGGATGAAGACAGACAAAGACGGCTCTGAATTGTCTACTTAGGCTAATTTTCAGTAGCACTTGTGACAGTGTATTGACAGAACAAGGACAAAAGAATTATCTTTCTGCATCAATAACAAATGTCAGGGTGAAAAGTAAAACAAAGCCAAGCAGAAGGAAGAGAGCCAAAGCTTTACATCGAAGTGAAAACTGTGTCATGGAAGAATAATAGCCTCAGCATGGAACACAAAAGACGACAGTGCTATAATTGCTTATGACGCACAATGCTATCTCCTGGAGAAGATGCAAATTGTAAAACCAATATTTCCACATAATAACCCTTAGGCCTCTTACAACAACACCCTGCGGGTGGCCTGGCAGCAGACTAATGACTCCAGCGCCATCATCTTCCATCTTGTTTCTTAGCAACAACATCATATTGACACCATCTTTTTTACCGCAATGAAGGCACATGGGCAATTCATTCCCACCTGAAAGACCCCCTGAAGCCACAAGACCATCCCAAGGCACCTCTCAAATCTGACCAATCCTCTTGCTGCAGTGTGTCTGCCAATCAATCTCACCCTTAACCCTTTTCTGGCTGTGCTGGATGGACCTCAGTAATCCCGGTCATGCTATTGTAGGCTGCAATCAGGGAATAATCTAGGGCTTGCTGGCTTGGGCTCAATAAACTCACACACACACACACAGACCGTCACATAGATGTCCTAGTCACTCACCTTGGATGTGACAGAAACAGCCCACGTACCTGGGACACATAAAACTCAAGGTAAGCTGCTGATTTCATCAGACTGTAAAATGCCAGGGAGATTTTCAAAGCTGGAGGTGGAGACTGAGACCAAAACGAAGGGTTGCATTCATGCAAAGAGCCACAAACCCTGGGTGTCAACACTATTATTTATTCTAGTTGCTTATGCAGCATCTGCTGACAGCTTTTTCTGTCATTTTTATTAATTGTCTAAACGGTCAAACTCCCATTCAGTAAGTGCTTTCTCCTTTCTAAAAAAGACCAACATCACCGGCTGTTTTTTTTCCTCATCAGGTGTAGGCCGTCAACACCTTGCATCTTTTGAATGATGAATTGAGCTAAATCTGAGAGTGGCTCATCAATGAGGACAAGCCACCGAACAGAAAAGATGTTCACTTACAGGTGCTGGGTCTGAGATGGAGAAAACTGGAGAGCAGAATTCAAGGAATAAAGGAATGAATGCAATCATGCCTGTATTTTACTGCAGTCAAAATGAAGCCATGATTCTGAGGCTTTATTTACAGAGAAGAATCTCTTCTTTCTGTTTATTAGCTGTGAATATTAGCATAAAATAGCTCTCAGTTTGTCCTATCATCAGGAGTCACAATGGTTGTAATTTAACTTTAACATTATACAAGATGTATACCTTTCTGATGTCAGCCAACCTGAAATCAAACCCACAACCTTGTGCAAGGTAGGTGGCAATATTACCCCTAGGTCCCACTAGTCCACAGATGTTATCCTCAATGATCTCAGTAACCAAACGGTCACTTTTGGACACTTTTGATTGCACTCAATTCTTTTTCTGGTAACTGGAAATGGACCTGAAACTTTGAGGACTTAGACTACGCTTAACTCAAACATTTCTCTTGCAACTCAAATCCTGACCTAAATTATGGCCACTTGACTCAGACTTGACTTAAACTTGTTAACTCAAAGGTTTCTTTGCAGAGTTAATCAAACATTCTTAGGTGGTTCAGGGTCTGAGCTGAAACCTTGTATGACTTGAGTTAGGCTCATGTGTTTAACCAGGACATGCTGGTTGGTCAGTTCATTTGGTGTGAATAAAGGGGAAATAACCCTTAAAAAAAGTGAGAGTTACTAACACTGGAATCCAAGCAGACACTACACTGAGACAATCTCTCCATCTTTCACTAGGACAGCTCAGAGTTCTGAGGCTGTGACCGGTTCCTGGGCAGACTGTACTCACAGCCCATCAACTGAGAAGAGTGTTTATGTTAGTTTACAGTCTGCAGGCATGCTGCCCACTCAGCACCTGGGATGTGAAAGACTCCAGAGCTGGCCCTGGCCCAGATACTGCAGTGCTGGAGTACAGTCACATGACTCCCTCTCTGAACTCACTGAATATAAAGTTGTACGTAGACAGACTATTATGTAATGTTAACAAACAATGTTGGCATTGCATGGACACTCTGTATGTGTTTTGGAATGACGATAATAAATAATAGTTTGTCTGGCTGGGATGATGACATTAGTCTGTGCCACAAGGGTTTGGGCAATACTGTCAAGACAAAGTCAGAATTGAACCTTTTTACTTCCACCTTTTCTGCAATAGGGAGCAGAAACTTTAAATGAATTATTTCTGATATACTTCAAAAACATGTATATGAGTCTGAATTGACTAATCTGAAAATGTCATCTAATGTATTTAATGTTCTTTTTCAATTTGCTAGTCGGGATGATTTGAGAATAATCAGATTCTCAGATTCGGGGCTCTAACCCCAGACCCATTGTTATCATGCTTTGGGTTAGGCCTCTGACACTTTACTCCTCAGAATCAAACGTAAACTAATTTTTTTGAGATTTGCACTAGGATGGTGAACATTTTTCTTACCTACCTTTTAACACTTGCATTATAAAAAAGAATGTTGAGGAAACTCAAAAGAAACAAGGTTAAGAGCAGTTTGAATTGTAATCTAAAAAATGTGTGTTCTGTTGGAGAAGAATGACTCAGTTCACCTTCTCCTTTGTATATTTGCTTCTTGTAGAAAGAAAAAAATACCTTCATCCCACAACTTCATGGATGACTCATAATCCAGTGTCACACAGAGTGAAATGGTAATAAAGGAGAAGGTGACTGTGACTGATGCTGGGCCACTTCTCTCAGCATCACTTTACAGCTTTTGCACTGAGATAATTAACAGCTGAAGCAGAGGAACACTGAGTCATCTGTAAATATGATGTGTCTACATGAAGGAATGACATTTAACTGTTGATGAAAATGATGATTACTACACACGTGCACCTACCCTCAGGTCTCCATTAGCCAGATGTGGGCTGTGGTGTCCAGGGTAGGTGCCGTAGATGGGCTCCTTACAGTAGATCTTGATGATGCAGCGGTCCTGAACGTCTCGTGGGTCTTCCAGCTCGTAGAAGATATTACGGGTCTGGTCTTTAATCAGCAGAGCTGTGCTGGGAGACCTGAACATCAATAACCAACATGTACAACAAAACAAAGGTGACGAAGAGTCCGTGCTGTGACAGTTCAAGCAGCTGTTATCTGCCCATGATGTGCATTCATTCATTAAGAGGAGAAGAAAATGAAAAATCTTTAACTGGCTTGGAGGAGTGAGAGGAGGAACTCGAGGCAGACTAATATTAAACCCATAAGAAATGTAATATTCAGTAGGAATGGACTAAAGTACATCCTACGGACAACCACTACCACTACCCTCGTGGATGAGTGGTGGATGAGTTGCCCTGAATGTAACTATTTTTGTATTTTTTAAATTAGTTTTTCTGGACGTACTCTGCCCCCTGTTGGGACTGCAGTTACAGACATCTAAAGGCTAGGCTAGACATACACTACATACACTGTGATGGAGTAACATGTGTCACCTTGTGATTGACAGACAGAGTCAGCACCAATGAAGGGTAGACAGTACATGTCAACAGACAGATCAATAAACAACCAGCCTGATGGACAGCTGCCGTCTGTGGGGAAGACCTACCTGAGCATGGCCATGGTGAGTCTCTGGGGGAACATGTGCACGATGAGAGCCCTCAGTGTGTCCAGGCTGGTCAGCTCATGGGTCAGGTGGACCCTGCGGGTCTCCTCCCCGAGCTGGAGGAACAAGATCCCTGCAATTATGGATGAGGAGGAGCAGTGGGAGAGATCCACAGTAGGTGAAATGAGCGGGGGGCCGTGAAGTTGCATGAAAGTAGAGAAGGAAAATGTCATCTCTGGTAAACAAGTCACTGCCTGGCTGCCCTTAATTCAGTCCCAAAAAATCCGTGCACCACAGGTTTATAACTACGACTTCGTTGGTTTTAACAAATGTCATTGTACAGTGTATCTCACTTTATGATTGCAAAAATAATTTTCCAGGCCAAAAATACTTTGTACCTTAATGTGAACCCACATCAATCTGCCTCCAGTGTGCTGTGTGTGTCAAATCAAGTTCAGAGATGTACACATTTCACCACTGTGATAAATGGAGGTTTGTTTTGCAGCTTCATCTCAATGCCAGACAATGCATTGCACCTTATGTTCAAAACGATAAAACAATTCCCCATTGATAAAAAAACAACACAGTTTTAGGCTGGATTTCCAACTGTTGCATCATCTCCATTCACACTGGAGACATCGTCTTGCAGAGCAGACAGTTTTATCTGCTGTCAGAGACATTTATCTAAGCTGGCAGGTGGTTTAGTAAAATCATTTTCAACAATAAAATCTCTGTCTCCTTTTGTCTGACAAAATAAAATATACTGCAGCCCAAACTCAACTGTTAATTAACTTTGTGGGACGATAATATCAGACAGACCATAATACTGTACATCACAATAAAAAACTAAATATAGAACATGTGTGGCCCTCAATGAAGCTGTGAAATCAAAATTACAACTGCAGTTTATTAAGTAACTCCATGTCAAATTCCATGATACATATACTACTACAACACATTTTATTATTTTTTAAAGTTTTTTGCAAATATTCTAACGTGACAAAAGAGAAAAGTAAACTAAGGGGAAATGAGATGTTCTTTCTGGTGTTTTTGCAGAACTTCCCTGTAAATTGATTTTCAGTTTTTTACGTCAATCTCCAAGTATGACTATTATCAAACAAATAAACAAAACAGCCAAAAAATGACTAATTATAAACTATTGATCATCAAGTTCCCTTGTGCATGAGTGGTGTTTGGAACCCATTCTTTAACTATAATACAACTGGGCAGAATCTGGCAACACTGTGAGAAAAATATGCAATATCCAGGCTTTCTGTGCAAATTAACATAGATTATTGGAAAAATATAAATAAAAGTGATGTCTGTAAAAATAACTGACAAGGACACTGTGACACCTAATGACATATCCAAGGAAAATGCAACAAATATATCATTAGTGGAGTACTGAGTAGAAGAAAATTGAATTACACAAAACAAAATTAACTCTGAACAATGACAGGTAAAACTGATGAAAGCACTGTTGTTCTTTAAAACAGTCTTCAAATGCTCAAAATCCTACCATGGTAAAAATGGTGGGTGGACAAAAAAAATAATCTGTAAATGAGACAAGTGTGAGTGCATCGTTTGTTGAGACACTTTGAACCACACATTAGCCTCAGGGTTGCCCTGAATGGTGTCATAAGATACCACGAGTGGGACGATCAATGGACTTTTTCCTCCAAGAGCCAAGTGTTGCCCTAGAAACCAGACCAAACATGGGCTGATGTTGGTAATTCACTCTGAGAGATGTGACTGACCTCATCTCTTCCTCCCACTCAGACAGACGTATATCTGTTCCTCAGACAGGTCTGGTCCATCCAGGCTTCTCAGCAGTACAAATAAACAACAGGGCTGACAGTGATGTCAGGAGGCTTGGTTATATTCTGTGGTAGTAGTTCTATAAGAAGTTACAAAAATCATATCCACCCTGGCTACATACGTAGATCATATAAAGGCAAATGGGACATGGACAAGTGAAGCCCAGATATTAGACTGGCCACATTTTGCTGCATGTGTAAAACAGAAAAACAAAAAGGGGGGACATCATCATGGTATTTGGTTGGAGAGAGAATGTCTCTATTACTTCCCTGGCACATTTGTAATTTCAGATAAAATGATACTGCAGGCTTGTATTTATGCATATTTGATGTTGTGCTTGTTGATATCTATAACTGTGGTCTAACCTGGCGCCCTCAGCTTGGCCTGGCTGGACGAGCGGGCCAGTGGCAAGCTCTGACGAAGCCGGTTCATTCTGTTGAAGCCTATGGGAATATCTGAATCTGACATGGTTTCCAGATTTTCAGCAGATGCGAAGGATACCCTGTTGGCTTGGTCAGCGAGAGCCGGCTTTGTGGGGCTGAGTCGCGTCACACGTGGTGTTCGAGTCTGCAAGATACAAGATTAGGAGTTAGAAATGGGAGGAAAGCAGATAAAGCATGTACAAATAGAGATAGCAAGAATAAAGAGGATGTGGTGTTTACACTTTATTACTTTGGTGTTGACAGCAGAGCAAGCAAATAGTATATAATAGAAATTGGCCTTGGAAAATACACAAAATGAAAATAACAGAAGGAGGAAATAGGGCTTTTAGCACATAGCCTTGGAGACCGTAAACATATTTTTCTCAGACAAAGCAGCCATTATAACTTATTGTACCAGCAAAAGCACAACAGAAAAAAATATAAACTAAAGTAAGAGCACTTCAGTTAACAATGGTAGATAAACTGATACTGGCCATCTGCACTGGAAAAACACACACTAAAGGCCTTCAGTAATAATGATAAACCAAAAAGCATTACAGCCGAGAGTCAAAGAGTTTATTACACTGTGAATGTTTCTTTTTTTTTTTAAATGACAGCCCTCTTGAGACAGATCCACTTATTTCCGTCTTTGACACATATATTCTTATATAACACATTTTCATGTTATAAATTTTAATTGGACAGTTTTGATCTGGCCTCAACTATTTGGTAAGCAAACACTGCTGCTAGCTCCAATGACAACAACAGAGCTGAATCTCTATCTTCTGAAGGCTTAATGAAGATTACCACTGATATTTGATCTACTCAGTGTGGACCTCTGGGGAGCTCAGACTGGGAAAGACCTCTTATTATAGTTACGATGAGTAGCTGCTGCACCAGGTTGGATCTTAATGAATCCTTACTGACAGACATTTTCCAGCCCAAAGAATACAGTAATGAGCTCCCACAGCACTGTGTGAAGTCAGTTACCATTTACCTCAGGTGTCTGTGGACACTGTCTGGGCACTGTTTGAATTCCTCCAGTGTCCACCGGGCTGGGAGCATGCATGGAGCTCAGCCATGCATGTGTGTGTAAACATACACGGGGGAAACAGTGACACGTCACACGACATACAAACACTCAGGATAAAATGTAAGGCAGCCACACAAAACGTGGTTTGGGGCTTTGCTTTTTCCTCCATCAATAGTCCTTACAACAACAGCCAGCTGTGAGTGTGATGGATGACAGTATATGCAGTCGCCTCCCTTTCTATACATGTGGAGATTTATGGCGTCTCATCAGCACAAGCACTGCAAAACCCTCAACAGCACAAGACTCACACCAATGAGGCAGCGGTGGGATTTATAAAGTGTGTGCTTATTGAACTGTGAAGAAAAAGAAAATAGAGCGCAAAGTGTTCATGGAGCATCAAAAATGATCGTCTGAACTCATTCGCTCAGGAAACTGAGACAAAGAGACAGAAGAAATGAACAGAGAAGGACAAAATCGGAAATGAACTCAAAGAAAGATGAGGGAATTTACAGTATTCTCTTACTGTGGCAGCAGTAATTTCCTGTGGCTGCAGAGGAACTTTCCCTGTGGTTGGTGGTAAGAAGCCCTCCAGTCTGCAGTAATGGTCAATAAACCCAACAATATGGTTTCTGGGCGTACACCCTGCTCACCCACTACTCCCACCCTCCCCGCCCCCCATCCCTCCTCACAACCTAACAGAATTCATTTACAGGAGGAGCGATGCAGCTGTCATATCAGCTGCAGTGGCAGGAAACTGCTGCTGCTGCTGATGAAAATGGTTCTTACTGTGGACTATCAGTGATTCTGAAAATGTAATTCAACACAGTGAGGAATCTGTCGTACGGATTTGATTTGCAAATTAAACTGCCTGGTTAACTGACATCAATGACGGCTATAAAGATGACAACATGTGACAAGTGTCAGGTTTGAGACTGGAATTAATAAGTAATATAACAATGCTTAAAGAAAAATGACAGCTCTACCAAAAAAATCGCTAGAACTAAAAGGGAAGTACATCCTCTAATAGACATTCTGGTTCATAAGAAAGTTTACATTGTCACCAATAAGAGGATGTGCTGTCTGCTCTGGAGAAGGAATGAATAAGAGGGAATAATTTTTGTTACATTTCACATCAACAAGTTTATCTTTCTGCTTCTGTTAAGGTCAATAACTGAACAGAACCGAATGCACAGTGATTGAAACCAGACAAAACGTACATTGACATTTTTCGGCATGAATACAAATGAAATGAAAGTGACCCCCAGAGACTGAATTCAGTCTAAATTCTTTTTTTGTGCAGCTAGAAGAAGGAAAAGATGGATTTTATTCTCTGAACCTTAACTGGAGTCCAACCAATAATCATCACGAAAATTCAAACGCAAAAATCACAGAAAACGTTGAAAACCAACATAGCTTTGAACAAACGTGTACTGTTTACTTGTAACATGGTGTAAAATGTCATTTAATTTCAGGATGCTCACACATTTCACACAATTGCCAACTATGCTGACACTAACAAGATGCCACTCTGCTGACTGTACTGCATCACGTCCCTGTTTGACTCCAGCATCTCAAGTGTGTTAAGTGCAGCAAAGTGCACTCTCACGCACTACATAATGGGCGACACCAAGGTCTCTCCAGTGCAACTGCAGCTGTTGCAAAGTGAGCAGAAAACATCAGTGTCCACTGAAATTGAAAGTCCTGCCAAAAACACAACTTTAGAAAATCATAATAATGGAAGACCAAGTCTAGGAAAACAGCACATTTTAGTATTGTTGCAATTACATAATTTTAATTTGCAGTGACTTCAAAAGTGAAATCTTAAAGTGAAGCCCTAAACCATCTAACAGGCATTATATCCCATACAACACCGGCCTGTCTCTTTACCTACAGCCACTGTGATCAGTGTATTCCATCTTAACAGACCTGCTGCTGCACTGACCACACAACAACGCTGCCAGTCTATTCTTTAAATGGGTAATTACGATAATAATGACTCTATTAGTTTTAACCCATTAATGTTGTACAGCTGCTGACATCTGGCTGAGCTTCATGACTGAGTGGTGACCAGTGAAGCGTGGACATATTATGTGCAGGGTCGATGACTATGAAATGAAGAGTGGAGTTTTAATAAAGTACAATATTGGTCTAATGAATTAGTCTGGTAAATTGAAACATACCACAACTGATTTTAGGGTTCCTAGGTTGTGAAGTGCCTCTATCAGGCTGCCATTAGCAACATCCACAGACAATCTGTAAATTATAATCACCTCTCAGCTCACTGAGAATAATCTCGACAAACAAAGCAACAGTACATATTTCTGTACCACAATAATAGATTTAAAAAAAGTTTAAGGGCATCATAAAGAATGTGGAGACAGAGACATGTGCTTGTTTTTCTGAAGAGAACACCACGTTTTAGTAGCTGTTGTTTATAATGGATTAGACAAGTGGATGGACACGTTAAAATATATTTCACATAAATTAAACACATAAATTAAACACATAATTATATGTGTTTAATTGGCTGCTACCTTGGACAGTTCCCTGTTGCAAAGAGGATTTTGAATTTACCTGCAACTTTCTTGTTAAACGTACGTTCTATTAAAGAAGACAACAGGGATTTAGACTTTGAACACGAATAGAAATATAACATTTTTGACTACGGCAGAACAAGTGTGACACAACAACAAAACAGTTCCCAGTTTCACACTGTGAACACACACAGGCAGCTCTGACAGTGACAAAACAATCAGGACACATCAAGACAATGTCACTGTGAACCAGCTTTCAACTCCAGAACTGTCCTACCACACGGTGCCTATCAGTGAAGCTGTAAACACTTACCTCAACTCCACGCATCTCCAGAAGAATCGTCCAACTGTCTTCACTCATGATGTGAGACCCTGTGTCTGTCCTGTTTGTTTAACTGAACCCAAGACTACACTGTTCCACTTCCACCAATAGGGCCATGAGACCAAAACTTTCCCATCAGTGAATAGCGGACACACAGCTGCCACAGCTGCAGTCTCAGACATTACATGGACATTAAGACCACAGACCATGTCATTTTTCTGCAGTGACTACTATAATCCCCATTTACAGTACAGTTAGAACACTTCCTGAAATGTAAAAAAAAAGTAGCATGTTAGTACTTAAGGTAACTTCCTTCATGTTCTGTTTCACAGGAATAATGGCAAATTAATTGTACGTTTAAAATCTAAATGCTAATAGTTGAAAAAAATGTGTTTTGATACAAAAAAGGAGAAATCTCTTTTTGATGACAGAAGCTGCAGCAGAATAATAATATTGAGATTTTAAATTTGATCACATTTTTAGGTAGTACTGCAGGTTTTCTGGGAATCATTACCACCAGTCTCATCACATTCTGCCTCTACAGTCCAGTAAACTACATGTGAATGGGACATCTACAGTTCAGAGCGAACTGAAAGAGGCAGTGACACACTGTCCATGGAGGGAGAGTCAGGTGGGACGGGCCAGAACACTCATTCAGCTGCCGTCTTGTTTCATTTCCCACAGAGCCACTTCCCTGGAGCAGCTGGGAGGGTTAATTGCCTTGCTTAAGGGCACTAGTTTTTAAGTGGGCAGAGAAACCCCCTTAGCCTCTTCCTTGCTCAGATATTCCCCACTGAACTGATGAGTCAGAGATGGAGGAGTTTCCAACAGAGGGTCTGTACACTTGTACAGTGACTGTAGTGTGAATTTGACCTTGATGCTGGCAGACTGGATGTGTGTTGGTTTATGTGGATGTGTGTGTGGGATCTGTCTGGTCTCCTGATTGTAAAATCAACATTAAAGTGGGCCTCTGCAGCTCTGACTTGCTGAGACCACAGAGTGGACATGTCCCTCCTCTGGTCCCTGTGTAACATCAGATATATAACCCACAGTGAAGGATAATTGTCTCGCACATAAAACCCTGTCCTGTTATTGCTTTCCACCAAAGTTGTGTGGTATTAATGTGCAGCCTGCCAAGCAAACATCACAGTCTTGGACAGATGGCAACAAAGTGTCAATAAGTAATTCTGGCCACGTGCCGCGGTGCAGTGTTAGTGGAGGGTTTTCAGGGTTGGGGAGGGAGCGATGGGTTGGCACTGCAGCATCACCAGTGGCAGCAGAAGCTTCCTAAGCCCTTTAGCGGTGGAAAATACTCCAGCTTTATTTGGAGTCAGACCAGGGAGTAGTGATTTACTGCAAAGCATCATATCAACAGCCAGACAGCGGGAGAGGAACAAAAGCAGTCGTCTGAACTGTGTTGGCCATGAGCTGGCTCACTGGGACAAATATGGCTTGGTGAGTCTGGGGATGAGACAATGTGAAGAAACCACACGAGTCACATTCTCTTTACAACACACGTGAGGATTAGACAAGGGATGTTTAAACCTCACAGCCTCCATGAATGACGAAAGTCGTTTTTTCTATAAAGAGACAAGAAGAAAATGTGCTTGTGGAAAAACACACTAAGTGAAGACAAAATGTGTTGGCTCAGTTAGAAACTAGTCTATTTGTGTCAACATCATTTCTCTAACAAATTAAACAACTACTGAACAGATAAAACAGGGACTGCCAATTCACTATACTGAATGAAACTGTCATTTATGATAAACACTGCCTTCATGAGTGTGCTAGTATAGTCAGTAGGTTGGCCATGACAATGTCATTTAAAAAAGACTGGCTAAAAAATAATGAGTACTGTCAAATGTTAACAGCAAATTGGTTTCAGTCAAATATTTCATAAACTGCTAGGACTTTCATTTCTTCATTTCACTGAGCAAATAGTAACTAGTTTTTTCTTATTTTCTAGTATTTCCTTTTTTTGCAGTGTACATATCTCTGCAGAAAAGCCTTTACTACACTGACATACCATAACAATAAATAAGGCTGTATAGTGTGTAGAATGATTTGAGCCTGTCTGCCTGCTGCTGTGCTGCCAAGAATAAACAAACTCTGCACACCAAGAACTAAACACTCATTTCAGCACCTGTTCTCAGACTCGACAGTAACAGTCTCCAGATTAGTCAAAGCATTGGTCCCCAGATCAAAAGAACTGGTTAAAAACACAGGTAAACTATTCCATCAGCTGCATTCCCTTCAGAACCAAGATGGCCGATCAACAATGGTAACTCCCTCTGAAGCTGCCCCTGCTCCTCCCTGTCCTTGTCTAAACCCACTGTGGAGTGCAGTACATTCCTCTAAATTCAGCACTAAGGTGAAAATGGAGGGAAGACAGAAGACAGTGATTACTTTGTCCACTTCAGACCAAAGGATGAGAACCCAGGAGAGGTTAAATGGAGAACCGATATTTGTATAAGTGAAGCTGGGAGCTCTGAAGGAGGAGGAGATTATGCAGCACTCTGCTCTATTACAATTTTGACATTCTGCGTGGCAGCAGCACTGACAACTGTGTGTGTGTGTGTGTGTGTGCGCAATATTCATATTTTTGGTGCATTTGCATTAAAATGGTTGTGTGCACGAGCAGCTACTGTAACACACTTGTGTGTTGATCGTGGGACTTTCATTTGTGCTCATGTTTGCATTTAGTGAGCTGGCAAACAATAAAGTGGACCAGTTATGACACACACACACACACACACACACATTGCTGCAGGGCCTTCTGTTGCATCAGAAGGAGAAGAGGGGGTGAGGTAAGACTCCTCAAAATGGTGAGAAGGGGGAAGAAAAGAGGGGAGGATAACCAATCATGTATAAGCAGGAGACTGGCAACGAAGGGCGACTGCAAAAAAAAGCACCGCGTGTGTGTTCGTCACCAGCCAAACAGATGAGAGGAGTGAGAGAAGAGAAGAATGTGCCAGAAATTTACATATAATGTTAAAAAAATGTTTTGTATATAAAGCTAATGCCAAAAGAATTTTATTTAATACATTTTATTGGACTGTAATTCAATTGAAATTTCATAAAGGTATAATTAGATCACACTGAAGAGGCGTATAACTTGATAAATATGATATTTGACAGAAGGATTAAACAAAGATATTTCATCAATTCTTTTACAGAATATGAGGAAAATCACCACATCAGTTTCCTTTAAGGTTGGAAAATGCAAACACGCAAATGCGAAATGTAAAGGAAATGAGAAAATATCACATAAATTATTATTATTACTATTATAATTATTAAATAAACTCCTATTTTGTTGTTTTTACCAGTCATTTCATACTTGTGGTACATGGCATTCACTGCCTAACACAGCCGACCTGTTAAACCCCTTCAAATCCTGAAGCAGCAGCTTCTCCATTGTTCCAATTGAGAAAATCCTCAGCCACTCAGGAGATCCACTGTATCAGCAGTTGGTACATGAGGAGCCTCTCAGAATACCAAGTAATTGTATGGTAAATGCTGTTAGCTGCAGTTAGTGCTTAGGCTAGCATATGCACAACAGGACAATCTCCCACAGGCTGTGTAGGTGTGAGGGTCAAAAGGGTCTGAACACTTAGAGTATAATGTATTCAAGTCTGCGCTGGAACTAATAATGCATTATAGTCTTCCACTGAGGAAACACCGTCAGGAGCGTTTAGGATCAATTGTATAACCGGACCAGTTGTTTTGATGCCTAATTGTGGTTGGTTCATCCAAATAACCAAAGACTAACAGACTGTTTTGGGGTGTTTTCGTTTAATATGGCATTTTATGTTGTGGATAAATATGTGTTTTATTTGTGCAGGATTTAGGATTGTTGTTACGGCTGCAGTGCAATGCCAGGAGGACAGTTTGATTTTCCAATGACAAATACTTTATATTAGTAGCCTAACATACTGTCTGCTATTGGTAAAAGAAAAAAAATGGTCCAATAAAAGGTGGAAAAACAGAAAATCATCAATGACAGTCATTAAGATTGTTTACAAGAATTAAAAAAAACCCCAGACCTTTATATCTTAAGACACAAACTCTGAGGCTCATTAATCCACAGACAAACAACCACTGCAAAACAAACACAGCTCTATTCCTGTTAATTGCTGCAAAGGCAATTCCTCCTTCAATAAACCACACTGCAGCTTTGACCTGAACGACCCAGTCTGTTTGTTTTCTTGAGAATAATTATCTCACAGTCAAATTTAAATGACAACGTTCTCGTATAATGTAACCCTAGGAGAAAGCACTCCAGACCAAGGTGAAGCTGAAGGCTGCAGTTTGTCTTTGCATTACTATTTTCACACCGCTGGGGTCGGATTCCTTGTCATGGAAACAGGAAACAACCGAACGTGACGCAGACTCAACCGCAGACTGAGCAGAGCAATAAGAAAATAATCTTAAAGTGACCGACTACCACTAATGGCTCCATCTTCATGTTAGCATCTTCATGTTTTACATTAGACATTGTTCTTAGGAGAGTAACACACCTTTATATGATCTAGATCTGTGCAAACAACAGGTTGTGTTGAATCTGCCATCAGTCAGAATATCTCATTCTATTCCTATAAGATATATTCTTAAGATCCTTAGTAGAGCATCCAGAAAAAAACAACAAATATATATATATATATATATACGTGTATATATATATATGTGTGTGTGTATATATATACAGTATATGCTAGAGTCAGCATGGTTATGGTTATCATGCTAGTAATGACTATTTCAAGGGCACAAGTGTGCCATAATTAACCATAATCTTTAATTTAATGTTGACAAATATTTAACTGGACACCCAGAAAATTGACAATGTATGTCAACTGTACTACAAAAACAGTTATATTTGCGTTTTATTTCTATGTAGGTTTTTATGCACAAGAAAAATTAGTTTGGCACATTTTATGGATGCATCTACAAAAAATGTGTTAAAAGCTTTTTTAAGATTTTAATGTTAATTATGATTTTAAACAACATTTAAGTATATAGTAATATTATAATGCTGGACAGCTGCTTATTGTTTTTTAACCTTGTCCAATGGAAAGTAAGACAACAGAATGCTCTTTGAAAGCTGTAGGTTGCAAAAGCCAAACTATGGCATCATGTATAATTTATAGTCAGGGAGTGTCTCCTCCCTGCCAGCATTCAATCAGTATCCATTTCTCATCAGGCGCTGTGTTAAGCTGCCAAGAAAGACATGCAAAGGCAAGAGAGGGAGTTCAACAACAGCGTGTGACCAACAGTCGATGCAACAGCAGAGGCAAGTGGACATGCAAAGGTGCAACAGAAAGTTTTCCCTTCATAGACACATCCACACAGAGGATTTCACAAACACACTATTGACACTGACCTTGAAGCTCCAGTAGTTTGGCTGTTGCTAAAGGAGTGCAGGGTAAGGAGGAAGGACAGGTGGGGAGGAGGGTGAGACAAATAGCAAAAGAGAGGGAAGAGGAACAGGGAGGAGGGGAGACAGAGAGGATGCAGTTTAGTCAGAGACATTTTCTCATACGTTGTGCTGCAAAGAAAACATCAAACACAAGAGTGGTGACAGGAAAACAGTAAGTCCGAGAGAAAAAAACATTTGTCATTCAGTAGAAAAGTAGACAAAATGGGACATAAATGTCCGGGAGAGTAACTTTTAGAGGTCTGTAGGAATAAATCAAGTTCTTTATCACAGGGAGAAGGTCAGAGACATTCTGCTCAACAATTAGGGATTTTTTTAATGTAAAATATGTGCTGTGGCCCAAAGAAGAGCACTTTAAAAACTATAGGTATACTATTACTATTGTGTAGTTTTAAATTAACCAATTAGTATTGAAAGTAAATATAGTCAAGGCCTAAACCAGACAAACACAGACACAAACACAAATGATGGGCCAGCAATAGTTCCAAAATGACACTGCTGCCCCCCGGGCTGGACCTCAGCCGTGCCTACTCCAGGGTGTTCAGATTTATCCTTCCTTCTTGTTGTCCTTAACTTACAGTGTGGAGTTTATGTGAGTGACACCACCAGAGTGTGACTCATAAAATTCAACAGTTCTAATGGTACATTAGTTTTATGGAAGTGGCTTTAAAATGTCCCTACCTCTTTGTCTGGAAATGTCCAAAAAGTGTGAGGTTTTGCTTAGAGAGAACAAACAGAGACGTCAGGCTGGTGAAAAGATGACAGGCCAATTGTCTGCTCTTCACTGCTGTTATTAAAGACATTAAGTGCAGCTAATTGCTTTTTTGCAATTAATCAAACATTTTCAGTGACTTCAATGTTGATGTAGTGCAGAGGTCTTCAACCTGCGGTCTATAGACTGACTAATGTCCACAACTACAAGGGGGTAGTGTGAAATGTGGTTGATTTGACAATTGATTCCAATGCATTTTTTGCAGTCTACCAGTCACCCTACACTGTAAGGTCATGGGGTCAGCTGGAGCAAATCAAAGCTGTAATTGAATAAGGGATAGGTACAGACTAGACAGTTTGCGGGCATGTTTTTGAACTGTGGGAAGAAACGCAGCATCTGGAGAAAACCCACGCACAAACATAAGGCCAGGGATCGAACCAGTAAACCCGATCTTTTTGTTGTAAGAGTGTAACAACATATCCACATCCCTTTGTGATAAGGTTTAAAATCATCAGTTTCAGCTGAAGAAATGTATAATGCAGTTGATGTTTCCTCTCCTATTTCAACACTACATGCTATCACTCTGTCATCATTTATAGCCCATCATCAGATGTGGCCTCCACTCATGCTGGTGTCTGCAGCTGTCATTAGACAAGAACTGACAATCAATATAATCACATGAACTGACTCACATACATTTTGTTGCACCTTAAGCCTCGTTTTTCTAACCATGTTACTGTATGAACCCAGAGTCTGCCCATGTCACAACAAACAATTTGCAGCTATTTCAGAGGGAGTATTTTTGACTGCAGCCATCGCTGATTTCATTAAAAATGACTTTTAACTTTAGGTCAGGGAAACTTCAGAACTGAGAGCTCCACTGTGTGTTGTGACTGTCTGCTATGTCATAATTATATTCATAATCAAAGTAGGGTGTAGGTGGATTTGAATTCAAGCACGTTCTCGGAGCTGCATGGGTATGCTCACTTTCCTTGCTGCTAGCACCTGATATCAGAGAGTTTTAAATTCAATGGGGTTTTTGTAAAAAGAAGAATAGAGGGAAAGGAGGACAGAAGAAACGGGACTTCAGGGAAGTAGGAGAGCAAAACCTGAAAAGGCCCGGGGGATGTGGTGACCTATATTTCAGAGCTCTGTGTGGCTTTTAGATCAGTTCTCTGAGCCCACTGACCAGAGCTGGACAATTACTGCTGGTGTGACTGCATTGCAAATGATGCACTCTTACGCAATCTGACTCTGAAATAGCAAGGAGATGGAATTACCGTAATTCTCTGTGGCTAAGAGTCGACAAAACGCCCAAACAGGACAGAACAGCATCATGCAGTGCTGTAGTTATGGAAGCTGAGCTTCTATTACACAAATGCCATATATAAGTTAGGGCCAGCGCTTTAGAATATTCATTTTGACTATTTATTTATAGACAGATTTTGAAAAAATGCAACCAGTTAATAGGACAAGGATCAGTTTTTTGGTGATTGCTCAACACAGAATTTGAATGGGCAACTCTCTGATCACAAGCCTGTTTCTTGAACTGCTGGGCAATGGGCACTTGGACACGTATACCTAATGAAGTGGCCAATATTTATTGCCTAAATAGTTTGCAAATAATATAAAAAATGATTTACTGGTTTTGTGTGCTGGTAAGATAACAGGTAAGATAAGGTAATTCCCAGTACAATTAAAGATTCTTTCATTTTACTTTTTTTTTAAACTGTATGGTAGTTATTATTATTTGATTGGAAATTTTAGCTAAGTAATAACCCTTTGAAGCCATAAAACCTGGTAAAAATCTGGTTCCCTTTCTGCTCTCTTATTGCACATTAAACCTTAACACTACTATTTTCTGGGACTGTTTACTTCTCAGTTCCCTAATATTTCTGTTTCTGGGACCTTCAACAGCACAGACACAGTCAGCGCTCCAAGTCTGTACACAACTTCTTGAGGCTTCACATAAAATCTTTAACTACAAAAAGACATTCAACACCAAAACACCACAATCCAGGTATCATTTCACAGATACTACGCCAGTGTGGAAAGAACTGCAGGGCGTGAAGCTATGCCTACAGTATAGAAGATCAAAAATAACTGGCCATGAAGTAAAGGTATGAATGAATTGTGTCCTGATGCTCTCACACACAGCAGTCAACACTTCCAGAACTTTTTTTTCTTTGACCAGTCTATAAAACTTATGGCCACATCCAGATTTGCAGTTTAATTTAATTTAATGGAGATCAGACTTTTACCAAAAGAGGTTCTCATCTGTGAGATACAGCCATACAGAGAGGGATGTCAGGGTTTTTTCTTTTTTTATCCATTCAACAAGGAAGTGTAAGTTGACTAAAGGTCACCGGGCAATTTTCAGCCCAATTATTTCCTTACTTACATTTCACTCCATTCCCACTCTGGACTGCAAGAATGCACAGTCTACATTTGTGCGTGACCTTAGACTTGAATTTAACTAGACCAGGGGTGCCCAATAAGTAGATCGGGATCTACCAGTAGATCTCAAAGGGAGTGCTGGTAGATCCTGAGCAATTACATTTAAAGAAACAAAAATAAATAAATACATAAATAATGAGAGATTTAATTCTATTTTAAGATGCTAATCACTAAGGCTAAAGTAAGGGCCATAGAAGTATTGAGTCAGACGGCATTGTGCCATACAACTACTGCCATTTAATCAAAGTAGTAAATAAGTATTTATAGTTTTCAATGTAGGTAGGTCACTTTACCCCGGTCATTTGAAAAGTAGCTCCCAAGTCTAAAAAGTGTGGACGCCCCTGTTTACCCTGACTATAAATTCTACTCTAGAACTAGACATTGCCAGAGAGTTGTATGCATCCTGCCAATTTTAACCAACAACCTGACCTGACACATGCTACATTTACACAGCAGTCACAGACCTGCATTGGCTAATCCATTGAGTGAAATCCTATTATGTTTAAATCAAAAACTGCAGTAAGGAATACTTTATCCAAACTCTTTTACTGTTCATTTTTCAGCAGTCTTGACATTCACATATAAAAACCAATGTGTTTTCAGGTTTTTCCAGAAATTGTTTTAAAGCACAGGTGTTTGTGAATAAAGTACTCTGCCTACACAGTCTTTCCTATAATTATCTATGCTGTAGTGGGCAGCTGCGGTGCGTGTTTTAATGCTCCAAAGTAGTTCTTTGTTTTGTTAACTGTGGAATAGCAAAGTTCCATCGACAACAAACAAATTCGAACTGCACCTAATTAAACTAGATTTCTAATCAGTTTCTCTTTGTTTTGCTTTATTTTATCAAAGAATAATAAAACTCAAAGAATCTCTTAAAAAACAAAGCAAAAAGCCTTTTGAATAGCTGATGACTTCCTTCTGAAGCAGTACCACTCAGTGACTTCACAACTTTGTACTTGATAACTGGAAAATAGGTGATAATATTACCACCCTCCTGAGAAACACTGCGACAGCAACAAACAGCTGATAACTGTGAACTGAAGCACCCACCCTGTTGTAATCCCTAATATATGCACTGTATAATTCACAGAGGCGTGTGCAGCACAATCGGCAGGAGGTTTTGCTTCATAAGGTGATGGTGAAAATTCACTTGCCAGGTTGCGGGGCAGATAATTTAATGCACCAACACGTGGAGGTTTTTTGGAACATAAAACTGGCCCCCTATGAACAGTGACTCAGTGATTGTTGCCTGCAATATTTCTCAATCACTTAGGCTGAAATCCCAGGGTGCACATATGCACCAAGACAGACAAGGCTCAGAGAGACGAGCAGAGGAAGACTGGGGGGAAGAGGAGGAAAAAAAAAGAAAAACTCCGTGAAAAGACACACACACACACACACACATATATGGCTGACCTGCATGCCAAGCAGCCATCTTTGTACCCACCCACTGATTTTTTTTTACACCCAACTCGTCGACTAATATTTCCTCCACAGCCCAGATCCAGCTGTGGATTTGGGCACACACTGACACGCCTGTACAGCTGTATACACGTTCACCCTGGTGCAGAACATGTGCATGTGCACATACAGTACATACATGAACACACACACACATACGGATCACTGCGGCAGCACAAGCACACCTGGCCAACACCTGACTGAGAAGAACTGGAGGTGGAATCACACACACACTATCACACAGACACAGAGAAAAAAAAGGGGGGGCGCGAGAGAGAGAGAGAGAGAGAGATAATCATATAAAGTTCATCTCCTCTGTCATTTTACACGGGCCACAAGAAACATATGGTGCTGGGCTCAGGAGGACCGGGAGTGACAACACAAACTGTCCTGTTTTCCTTGTGTTTTGATCTGAGTTTTCAGGCGAGAACATTCACAGTCAGAGTGAGGATGTGCAAAACAGCAGCAAAGCACAGGCTGACCAGGTCTAGTCTTTAAGGAGACCAGCAATGTAAAGTAATACACATCTAGATAGTGAATTATTCTTTATGAGTTGAGGAACATGACTACATCAATATTATCATAGACTAAAATAAATATTCAAAGTTACAATATTGGGCATTACTCAATGGTTTGGCACATCAAAGTGGAGCTCTGCATTATATTTAGACTGTCAGGTGGATTATTGTCACCACAGTCTGTCATCAGTGTCTTAAGGTACGTGTTGTTTTCTACAGTGAACTATAACTAGCCTCAAGGCTGTAAATCTAGTCTTCATCAATGGAAAAGGTATGGACATACGGTTTGGCTTTCTTTCATTCAGTCATCAGAACCAACTAGATGCTAAATTCTAGCCTGAACTAAACCTACATGATGCACAACCATAGCCAAACATCAGGCAATTCACATCTTTATCCTTATTAAGATCTAAGGTTCTGCCAGAATCCTAGAACCCAGTTTTTGGTTCTCGTTGGAACACTGGTCTTTAGAAATTACCATGAACAACAGAAACGGTCCTTTAAAAGGTAAGAAAGACGTGTACAGACATATATACGCACGGCTTTTTACAGTCAGTGTTCACACACCTGATCATATTCCTGTACATACACACAGGCGCGACCAAATACAAACACACACACACACACACACCCTTGCACTTGACATCACTCCCTCACATCCACGCAGCCATACCAGCGTCACACACACACACGCACACACACACACACAGTCACTGTATCACCACAGAGGAATGCCCAAAATGTCTCAGCTGAATGTGCAAGGACAGGGTAAGAGACATGGGAAGAGAAAGAGAGAGAGATAGATAGAGAGAGACTGAGTTACCGTTGCTACTTAATGAGCACGTCGGCCGCCCGGTGCATCCTCCTGCTCCGCACGCCTCCCTCTTCCTCCTCCCCCCTCTCCATTCCTTTTTTATTTGTGCTTTTCACTGCAGCTCTGTGCCTTTCCCGCGCCCACAGGATCCAGGAGTCCTCCCTCACTGGTACCCGTAGTAGCGCCTATGAGGCAGTTAGCATCTCTTCCTGCCCCTCCTCCTACTCCTCCTCCTCCTCCTGTCTTGTCTCTCTCCCTCGTCCCTGAGAGACACGATAAAACTCCTTCCTTCCTCTCCTGTCCCTGGTTCTCTCTCTCCCTTTGCTGTTTTCTCCCTGTACAGTGTGAACCTCTCTCTCTCTCTCTCTCTCTCTCTCTCAGTCTAAGCTCAGCCATTACCCGCCATATGATATCACACAGTTGCCTTATATGGGAAACTGTGTGTTGTCATGACGATAGCAGACTCCACCTGTTTCTCCCACCATCTCTCCCTCCCTTCTTGCCCACCTCCTCCTCCACGTCTCACTCCACCTTTTTCTATCAGGGGACAGACAGAGTGATTAAGGTAAATAGACACAGAGAGGACAGAGTGGGTGGAGAGGGAGGAGGAGCTGGACGACCGGGGCAGGATGGACAGAACCTGACGGAGGTTTGAATGAGGAATAGTAAAGAATGGAGAGACTGTGTCGTGAGAAGTTGGTGACAAGTTAGAATCAGTCAAATTAGAACATTGACAATAGATTGACTAGAATAAAGATTCAGACATAAAGAAATTCTGAGTGGGTGTTTCTAAAAAACGTAAAAACCTTCTCTCCTGCAGGGGATGCTATAAATGCAGCTCTGTTCTGGGAGTTTCCTTCTAAATTCTTCATCTCTGTCAGTTTCCTATTAATTGCATACATGTTAAGTCAATTTTAATGTAAAAAAAACTACATTATGCATTTTAGTCATTTTAAACTAAATCTAATCTAAAATTAGTTAACTAAAAAAATCTTGACATCTAAATTTAGATTAAGACAGTTCACTTTGGAACTAGCTAATAACTCAAAAGACTTAGACTGAATCAAATTTACAGTAGCTGTTGCTAAACACTGTCATTTTTACACTTTTTTTTTTACAAAAACTAATGCAAAAAAAACAAGAGGGAAAAAAGAAAATACAGGCAGAGCACAATGCCCTGCAGATAAACATAACTATACAGTTCTAGAGTACAGTATAAAACTTGATATTGATTTCTGAGCCATAATACATATTTTAAATATGTTATACCTAATAAACCAGCAGCACAAAACTGACTTTTGACAAAATAAAATAAAAATGTAACGAAGTTTTCTAAATAAATGTTTATGTCTACAGCCAAAAGGAGCATTGGACCGATTTAATCTTTCTAAAATATGGTTGGAGAGCATCAGACGTGCAGTGTGTTTGAGTAAACTGTACAAAAGTGTGAACGTGTAAGTAAACCATCAGGATTCAGTGTGTTAATTAGGGAGCTTTAGAGGATTTGGTCAGAGTCCTTGCAGCAAGTGCTCCCCTGCCTCCAATAGCAGAGATGAGCCAGACCAAAAAGCATTTCGGCTCCACAGTAACAGTACAATTACTGAGCAGACATCATATCATCTTACTGGGGAAAACAGAGCCAAAGTGAGGGGAAAAAGCACATTTTAAAATGTATTTCTATCTCATCAGCTTTGCACTTTTCTCCTTCAATTTCATCGCATACCTTCTCAGATAATAACCACTAAGAATAAAAAAGTCCATTACTGAGCCTTACTGAGTGTCAGGGGGGGAAAAAGCGTCAACTGTGTGATGCTGCAGGCATCTCGCCACATAATGCACTTGTGTGGGCTTCCAGGTCTACCCATGTGCTCTGGTTATCTCTGACAAAAGAAAATCTCTCACATGTGGACACAGAATGCACTCATGGGGAGCTCATTCCTCCTCCCTCAAGGCAGTACTTTCCTCTGGGTTTGTTATTATACACTGAAGTGAAGGCACATCTGCATTAAAACACACACAGTGACTGAACATCCTCAGAATATATACAGAATATACATATATGTATATAGACAGAGGGGGGTAAGAGAGTGTGTGAGAGAGAGAGGGAGGCTTTTTTCCTTGCACACACTGCTCTGTAATTCTGATTGATTCATACAGTGCATTCCCACTGAGTATCATTTATTATGGTCCTATCAAACACAACAAATTCTCTGTCAAAAGAGGAACACGGTCCCTAACAGCTCAGCCGTACCATAGCACTGCTGTAGAATCAGTCACCGTCAGAACATAAAGCCTGACTTATAACCACTGAGAGACACTCCTGTCCACAGGTCCATACACACCATATTATTTGTGGCTAAGAGCTAAACAGCTTCCAGTGACTGGAGCTGATTCCCTAATCCCTAATAACACAGTTAGTTGGGTATTTACCAAATATATATAATAGATTATATAATAAATATAGTGTATATTTCCAAACACTAATGTACACAGTCTATGCTGTCAGATTCAGAGGTTTCAACTACTGTATGTGACACATTTGGAAAAACATCAGTATTTCACTGACAGCTGCTTCATCTTTTTTTCAAATACAAATTTGAACTGACACAGACGGCTCTAAACCTAGGAAGTCAAAGAATCTGCAGCTTTAAAGAAAGGCTCAGCTCCGTCTCCACACTCCATAATGTTTAGTTTTGACATTTTAATGCATCATGATTTGCTGTACTTTTTCTTTTTCAGTTTTCCCAAAGGACTGTGTTCTGGAGTGGAGAAGTTCCTGACACAATGTCATGTGTATGAGTTTGCTACATAACAACAACAGCTGATGTTTACTTTATAGAAAAAGACAGCCGTTTATACACTGCAACCATGAACATGATGAGGCTTACTTTGGTTCAGGGGGAGTACCATAGTCTGCTGGTTCTCAGGAGAATCAGAACCAAGACCAGAACCAATTAACAAGAAGTTAATTGCCATGGTAACAGAGATGTCTTATTGCTGAGATGCAAAAAAAATAGTAAACAAATAAAACAACAGTTAAACAGATACCTGTCGCCCGACAGCAGCAGCAGTTCCTGCAGCAGATCCCTGGGACATGCTTCCAGAACTGTTGGAGAACTTGTTCTTTTGGAGGTCCACTAATGCGTCCCGCTGCCGCTCTATGTCCGCCTTGTGGATGCTGTTTAGGGCCTCCAGGCTCTTGGCAGCCACAGAGTTGTGGCGGCGGTCCAGGGAGGAGGATGTGAACCCCCCATTGGCATTTTCGGCAAACCTGCGGGCCCCACGGGTGCCCCCGGCAGCCAGGGTGTGGTAGTCCCGCGGGAACTCGGCATCACTGGCAGAGATCATGGGACTTTTTCTCTTTTCTCGACCTGCAGGTTGGGAATTAAAGACAGATTAGACACTTGTATGTTTTTTGAATCAGTTGGTGAGAAGAATACTGATTCATTGATATTTTGACGATAGATGTTATTTCACAAATTTTGCTAGATTTGAAAAAATGATCTAGAAATCAATAAGAACAGATTTCTATCAGGTGAGAAGTTAAAGAAGATGCTTTTTAACCAGGCATGTCCACCATACAGTCCTAGGCTCGATCCTGGCACTGGGACACGTTTTGGTTTTTAAAATATGCTTTGCTAAAATGTATTTTCTCACCTCAAAGAATATTATTTCAAAAGTTTTACAATGATCATTTAAAGGGTAATTTACTAAATAATACTGATACTGTGTAGCATTTACTAAAGGAAGAAAGTGAACTCCTTGTCATTGTGACACAGCTCACCACTGCACACAACCAAATGTGACCTCTGCTTTTAACCCATCACCAAAGTGAACAGTGGGCAGTTTTAAGGGGAGCAGTGTGTGGGGACAGTGCCACGCTCAGAGCACCTCAGTGGTAACTTGGCAGAGGGTGGACTCGAACCTTCCAGACCCAAGTCTGCTTCCTTAACCACTGAGCCCCAGCATACTAAAATGCTACACAGTATTTTTGTCTGTTTTTCAAAAACACCAATTTTTGGCTAACCTTTCTAAAACAGCTACAGTGCTACTGTACATACAGCAGTTAGGTCAGAAACACAACACCTTGACTCACTTGACTAGTCCTCTCCTTGCTTTGTCTCCCCACATACACTGACTTCCTGACAATTGAGAGATCAGCTGTCCTTCATCTGGTATTGTTTATATCTTACATCGCATCAACAAATCAACTCTATCATTTACTGCCATCATGTCTCTGTGAAGCTGTTTTGTTTCTGCTCCAGATCGTTGGTGCTTCCGAAACGCATGGCTCTCATTTCCCATCTCCACCCAGTCACGGCTGCGTTATCAGATTCATCATTCCTCATCCTCCAGACCATCAACCACAATCACTGCCATCAGTGTCTGGTCTCCACTGGTGGATAGAGGTGTCTGTTACTCATTTTTCTGACCAGCTCACGTATGTAAGCGTTTGTTTTCAAACTTTACAACCTCCTATTTGTCACTTCCTCAAGACTTTTTAAAATAAATACTCCAAGTAATCTGCCATTTCAATTAGGCATATCCTCCAAACAATTATAGTGAATATGATTTTAGAAATGGGAGATTATTACGTACATAATAAGTTAACAGTCTGTTTCATTTATTTTCTACTAATCCATTCAACATGAATATTTCACAATATTTTATCATTTATTCATTATTATTTATTACATTAATTAAGTTAGCAAAAGGATAATAATATTCTCTTTATTTAACTTTTAAACTTTTCATGATTTCTCCTATTTAAGTAGTTCCAATTAATAACTTAATAATTAACTTAATGACCTCCTCAGAGACGTCAGTAGCATTTTTGTCGCTTTAAAACAATACCTGCTATGTTTTTGACTGTGAACATTTTAGCCTGGTTACACAGATGTACGACATGGAAAGAAGAATTAATTAAAAAAAAAAAAAAAAGCCTAACCCTGTATGATGTGCGAGAAAGTGAAAATGCCAGAGTCCCGGCGCACTGTGGGTACAGCACAGAGCTGTAGAGAGCAGCAGAGACGGTGTTAATGTGACGACTCACCTCCCTCCCTCCTGCAGCAAAACCATGCATGCATCCATGATTCTGTTCCTCAGCAACAGGCACACACACATGTTCAGCAAACATCTTCCTGTCCTAAACACACACACACACACTGAAGTATACACACACACACCTCTGGCAACATGTAGCCATTATAAAAACAGCTACAACATCTGTGTGTTCTAACAAACCAAAGTGTCAAACCTGAGGGAAGAAAAACAAAACAAACCAAGATCCTGTTACATGTATGAGAGCAGAACATGAGAATCAAAGTCAGTGAAGGAGAAGTGACACAGTGATGGAGGTGATGTCTCTGTGTATGGGGAATGATTTAGTGCCCTCTTGTGACCAATGATAAATAAAACGCTAGAGATTGGGAATAGGTGAAGAACAGTTAAACCAGGTAAGAACTGATGTATGAAGTAAGTAATTAGAAATGTAATTAAGTTTTGTCTTTTCTTTTTTTTTTCTGATTATTTACTTTCCCGTTTCCTGTATTTATCACGAATAAAATATGCAACAAAAACAGAAAAATCATATCCAAAACAAAATATATACTACCTATAATACTGAGGAAAAGTACAGTTTCTGAAATACAGCCCCTGTATATACTGACATTGTAGCTGTAGTGTCTGCTGACAGAACAAAATGTTTGATTTGGTCACAGATATAAATCTTTTGAGAGCAGCAGCAGCAACTGCTGCCTACCCATGCAGGGATTTAAAGAAATGCTGTTACAGAGGAGGGAGGTCTGTGGGAAACGGAGGGAGTGAACGTCAAAACAAGAGGTCATCAGTGTAATTCATGTGACACCTTGAGAAAAGCCCTGCAATGTTTTCAGCAGTGTTTGTGGGTCTGAGGATTTATTTCACCTGGAGACACACTGTGACACTATCTGCTGAAACTGAATGAAGACGTTTCCTTCGAAAGAACCCTGGAACAGTTCTGATGTGAACAGATGTATCCTGTACTTGGCTGTGATTTATCCAAGGTTTAAACAGCAGCACGTACATCTATAATCTGCCCTGCTGCCTTAACGACATCTCAGCCACCTGTTTAACAGAGGTTTTCTTTTCTACACTGTCAATACATTCAAATGTTAACAGTACATTGCTTTAAAACAAAAAAGAAACCCTTATATTCTCAATGGACACAGGAAATTAAAGTACTAATTAGTCCAACATCCCTACTGTGGCACGTTAAGAAGAAAATTTAGAATTTTAATAATAACCTAAAATAAATTTGCTTTGCTGACTACCCCCTACTCTCCTATAACAGCTATGAGGATCCACCCCCTGTTTCTAGAACCCCCAGGTAAAGTTACAACTGAAAAAAGAATTGTTACATCAATGAAAACTGTTGCTTCACAGACAAAGGGCATTAAATGTCATGACAACTGTAGTAATGAGCCTGAATACATGTTGTTCTGTCTGGTTTTATGATACTAAATAATGTGTTTCAGTGAATACACTGATTTACTCATCTGACCTTTACTGATATAATACTTAAAAATAATTACTTCCCTGTCCGTAAGGCCTTTTATTGTCTCACCCCCCCTCCCCGCCTCCCCCCAGCCTGAGGCCTGTTGTACTAACTGTACACATACTGCACACATTACTACCTGTTACCCCAGTAATGACATTACTCAGCCATGTGTGAAAACCAGCTACAGCCTTGTGTGCTGTATTGTCTCCACCATCTCAGTCATTATTGCTCCTGGTGGTAGTTAATGGGCTGCCACCTCTGCCCAGCTTGCTCCCAGCACCCCCTCACTTATTAATGCCTCCACTGCAGCTAACAGATCTAGCAGCCTGGCTGATGAATTCCACTTTAATTGTGTCACTTTAGTCAAACTGTCAAATCTCTTAAATGATTAAACAAAGCTGATGCTGCTGGAAGAAAATCCATACTGTGGGTTTCAGATCTGTACATTTGTAAACACTGTTTTAAAAAATTCTGCATATAGTTTTCTTTCAGGAAAGAAACCAAGTTCATTCAGTGTGAAGTGAACCGAAGTGCTGACTCAGGTTCCACCAACTTCTTATACATCAGTCCTGATTTTAATCTGCGAGCAGTACATCAAAACCCTGGTTTAAATCACCGGCTCTGGGTGTAACTAATTACACACAGTAATATATGTTTGTCCTCTACACGGCCGCCTAGACGCACACCCACGGACACACAAGGTCCAATGTGAGACTGAGCACATGATTCAGTGTTGTGGGTTCATTATAGTAGAGAGGGAAGACTTAAAAACCAAGTGAGTGATTGTCAGTGTGCCACTGAAGCCATTTTTCACAGAGACTGGGAGCTGTTCCAAAAGACATTTCTCATTACAGAACTGCTGGATGCATGGGGGTGTGTGTGTGTTTTGGTGGTTCAACCTTGGCCACAGTTGCCCGTCGTTTAGTTAGCTTTTATCTGGTCAAAGTGTGGTGATTAATGTTCACGCCTGCACCGCTTAAATTTAGCACAAATAATTTTTTCCTTCGTGTTTAATGTGACACCCAGGTTAATGAGGTAGACACATTATAACTCCTGTTTATGTCGTGTGCACCACTGCTCATAAACACAGAGTCAATTTATATTAAAGTTGGTGTAATTATTTAACTTGATGACAAAGAAAGGCCTTTTACATGACAAACTTTAGCCCGATCTTAATAGTTATACACCAATTTAGTGAATACTTATTTTTCTCTGTAATAACCTATACACAGTCTTAAGGCATTATTATGTAAATATTTCAGCAGCTGCAGGGGTGTACAGTAATCAACTAGAGCTGAGTTGATTTTCCATCCTCCCTCTCTCCTCTTTTTCTTCCTCATAGATTTTCTATTCATCGAAGTCTATTAATACAAACTGGAGACACTGCAGCAAGAATGAGTGAAGAAATATAAGGCTCCTCCGTCCACAAATTATAATATCCAGCTCTCCAGGGCACTTCCAAATTAAAATAAGACCCAAACAAGATCAGACAGCAGAACACCAAGTGTGCTATATTTAGAAGAAGAGCCGCCCCCGCTGATACGAAATGTCTCTTAACTGATCCTGGCAGGGAGTCTGTGAAGTAAGTCTGAGTCTGAATACACTCATGTGACCCACATGAACATGGTGGCCCGCTATGGACCAGTGAACAAGTGTGGCCTCCATCACTTGGTTTGACCTCAGGATTTATTTTCTGTCCTCTGCAGTGCATTCCAAGCAGGTGGATCCAAATTAAAATGTATGGAACCACTTAAAATACTGTAGTGACTTTTTAAAAAATACCTCTACAACGAACGTGGTGGTTCATCAACCGCACACAAAACAGTTTCACTC